CACTCCCCCTCCCCTCTTCTTGGTTCTTTCGGTAAAGTCACGTAGAATGGAAGTAATAAAAATAAAACATAATAAAATAATTCTCACGACGTTTCGGCCACAACGCAGGCAGCCGTCCTCAGGTGAAGAACAAGTCTGTCGAGGAGACCTGTTCTTCACCTGAGGACGGCTGCTTACGTTGTGGCCGAAACGTCGTGAGAATTATTTAATTGTTGTATTTTTTATTATTTTATTATTTCCATTCTACGTGACTTTACTGAAAGAACCAAGAAGATGAATCCCTGCAGTCACAAAAGCTTTAAATCGAAACTCCCCCTCCACTTTGAGTCCAGCCTGTGTATTGGCTTCTTGGAGCTCCAGCAAGTCCAGCCTCGTTTTTCTTGACCTTACAAGCCTCTTGCTCAAGTGAAGACTGAACGGTGGTCATGACGGCGGCTCCCTGCCTTCTTCACCTCCCCGCTGAGCCTTCGCTTAACTTTTCATGGAGCTTCAAATCAAGATTATTAGTTGTGCGCCTTTTGGCGTCATCTGGTCCAACCCATGTGAGACTAGGCTCTAAGGAAAGCTGTCTCGGGTGTGGACCAATCAACTTCAAGGACAGTGCATACATTATCAGAGTTATGTTTTTTGTTTGAATTATGACTGCAGGTATTGTGGTCTATGTAAACATGACTCCTTGTAAAAAAAGGTGTCAGTTTTGTTGCCAGATAGAAGGGTAAAAAAACAATTATCATATTTTTACAGCCAAATGAGGTTCCAATGGTGTAAACTCCCCCTCCACTTTGAGTCCAGCCTGCGTATTGGCTTCTTGGAGCTCCAGCAAGTCCAGCCTCGTTCGTCTTGATCTTACCAGCCTCTTCCCGCTGAGCCTTCGCTTAACTTCTAATGGAGCTTCAAGTCAAGATTATTCTCACTGAGAAGCAGAAGTGGGCGGCGTTTTCCTCTCTCCTTTCCACGAGGGTTTGTAGACGTTCCCAGGCTCCTTCCTCCCAGGAAGCTCTCTGGTCTCGCTCTTGACCAGGGAAGCCAGCGGGGACGAAGGCATGGATGTGTTTTTTTTCTTCTTCCCCCGAGGACCCCAAGGCCGTAATTATAATATATAGAGGGGACCACATACCCCCCCCCCCCCAATATTAAAATATGCTTAAAATGCCCCCCCCCCAATTTATTGCTATAAAATAGATTTATATTCATATGATTGTGGTTATGGTTGTACTTTATTAATCCCTAATCTCTGCCATTACATACAATGAAACAAGAAAAAGAAAAGAAAAAAAGCAATGTAATACAATACACTATTAGACATTACTGTAAAAGAAAAAAGTTCATCCTATGTGTTCGTGAATATTTTAATATTTTAGACAGGAATTTAGTTTTCAAATTTAGATTTTCTTTTCTGGGTTGGGACTCCCAGACCCCCTGGAAGATTTGGTCCCCCCCAATGTTGACTCTATGGCTACGGCCTTGGAGGGCCCTATCCACCACGACGCACGAGGCGAGAGGGGTGACATCTCCCTGGCCTGCCACGGGAGCAGACTTGAGCTGCGCACTGTGGGCTCTGGAGCCCAGACAGCTTATAAATTGCCCTGAAAGGCAGCAACAACAACAAAACAACCAACAAAAACCCCACCTGGAGCTAAGAAATAAAGAAAAAAATCGGCTGAAGAGAAAAAAACTAATCTGGTGTACGGAGTAAACAGGGTTCATATTCTTAGGTTTTTTTTGGTAAAGTCACGTAGGTAAAAAATTTAAAAGTAAAATAAAATAAAAATCGCGACGTTTCGGAGGCAACACAAGCTTCCGTCTTCAGGTGGAACCGTCACAGCACGATAGCTGTATAAAGTGAGAGAAATTCCAAGAAAACAGTCCTTGTATATATACTGGTTGAGGGTGGGAGGAGCCAAGGTAGGCCCTGAATATTATTTTTGTGAGGTTCGGTGCGGCTGAAGCACGCTGTTAGGAATGAGCCTTTGTTGTGTAAACTAGGTGCGGATGATGAGGGTTGTTGTTGTTTACAGTAGGGGTTGGAGATCCGTTGAGCGCCGTTCACTCGGCCATAACGCCACCAGAAGTCTATCCTTTCAATTCGTCATCCGATCCGTCATCGGACAGGCAAGACGTTCCACAAATTAAGCGTTTTCATTATATCGATTACACTTGCTTCAATAATTTTCATTCTCAAGTCTTCATTCCTGATTCTGTTCCTTCTCGTTAGGATTCAAATCCTCCCGTCCATTGCTAGATGGCAAACCTGCACCTTTCTCACTTGGTTCTATGGTTAGGGACCACGTGTGTGCCCCATTAGGCCATCAGTCTTAAAATACAAGCAACCATTCATAAATTCATGCACGTTTCATCATTAACGCAGCGTTAATCAAAGCTTTGAGATATATAAATGCGGCGATGGTGATTGCCACTGGGCTGTAAGGCAATGAAAATGAGAAAACGGCCCATGTTGCCTAGAATGTATTTTTATTGATGGAACCCAAACAGCAAGTTGATTTGGACGTAAATTGTATCTACATTTAAAACAGTGCATAAAAATGTAACGGAACTCCTTACGTTACAACTGACATCTTGGGCTGGTAAACCAAAGTGACAGCACGCACTCACACACAAACCGGACAGTGCCTCGTTGTGTTTCACATCGCTTTCTTTTTTACAAGCTTCCAAAACACAAATGTCCCAATAATGTATAATACGTTCACTGGAAGAGCAGATTTTTTTTGTTTTTAAACAGAACGCAACCCTCCGTTGTCCAGGAATTAACCCGAATTTCGTCACGAGCGTCCGGCCCAGTTTGCAGTGGGGCGCACGGATCCGGATTGACTCCGGATCCGCACCAAGGATGAATTCTCCCCAACATCAGATCAGAGCATTGTGCCTTACGACGAGAAAACAACAAACAGAACCATCACATTCGGCAAACCGGAGTGGATATCGGTTAAGATGTCAAACGCTACCAAAAAAAATAATTGGAGAAAAATATTCATTCAAAATAGCTTCACCAAAACAACCTGCATTTTGTATTTTTTTGCGACTGCATACAAAAATGTGTTATGATCCAACTAAACACGAGCACGATCACTTAACACTGGCCATATCGCCCTTCCGCTGAGCTTTCGGTGGTCCAAAAAAAATCATATAAATCGCTGTACGAGTAACTTTTCAATCCCATCTCCAAGCAGATTTTTTTTTATTAAGAAATGGGGGTGGGGGGGGGGGTAGATCCTGCTAAGCTCAAAAGGCATTGTATTTTACAGCATTCTCTTAGAGTTTACCCAGAACACGCCCGGGGTCCACGAAAATCAGCAGAGCCGAACGTGTACGTTGCAAAAGCCGGGTTTGGTTTCACCTCTGGATTAACACAAAAAAACACAATCCCACGGCGGCATTTTCAAAGTCGGACTTCCCCTGTGTACGTTTGCTTTTTTTGTTAAACAACTTAATAACACTAAATTAAAAAAAAACACACATTCGTGACTTTATTCAAGGTGTTACGAGTGGTTGTTGCACGAGGCCCCGCAGATGCCCACGAGCACTGGGAGACGACGCGACACCTGCCAAGTGGTTCACGCCGCACGCAAAAAAAGTAACACTGCCTCCAAACGGAACCAACGTGCTCGGTTGTCATCACAGTATGCCGACAAGAGAGACGTTTTAAAACAACTGTAGAGGAGGAAGACCTATACATGTCATCGGGGTGTTTTTTTGGGGAGGGAGGGGTATGCGTTTCACTCATGAACAATTTTACGTTGCAGAATTATCATGACGTTTAAACGTGACGCGAACACTGCCGCCTGCCACGGCAACATCGCTCAGTTGCGGAGGGGTGAAGGGAGCGGGACATTTTTTTTGCTGTCGCGGATTTCATACAATTGTTAAAATTCCTCCCCCTTCTCCGCCCTTTGATTTGTGATTGTTTACAAATAAAAAGACGGCGGCTGATTAATAAGTGGGGCGCCGCGGTGGCTATGAGATGGTAACTCCCTCGCCTGGTATACAGGAGGTCGTGGGTTCGATCCTGACCCCGACGCCTGCTGTATATTTGGAGTTTGCGGTGTCTCTCTCCCGTGGTTCGCGTGGATCCTTCTCAGGGTCCTCTGGTTTTTCCCTCCACATTTAGAATCAACGTGTGTTTTAGAGTATTTGGCTGCTATACATTTCCATATAAGCCACGTTGTTGAGCTACCATTTGTGGCCAGGTCGCTTCTGAAAAAGAACTGTATAGCTCAGTGGGCCTTAACTGGCAAAATAAAAAATGGTTTAGTTTTATAGTTTAAGTATGCCAAGCGCAGACCAACGGGGAGAATTTGCTTAAGCACCAAGTTGCCGATGCGTCCGCGCATTTTTCGAATAACCTCTACAAAATAAATTAAAAGTTCGTGTGAAACTGTCAAAGAATTCCACATCCACGTGCTGTTGCTTTACAAACGTTAAATACTATATATAGGCATCCTCAAGTCAAACGTACTGCATGCCTTTAGCGCAACGGTTAAAAAAAACAGGTCAGAAAACTCAGAGCCATCTCATTAACCAGAATATTACTGCAGCTTACAGAGCTATACACACACACATATGAATGTGGTCAAAACTTTTGATAATGATGAAATAATAAAGATTACAAAATCTTTTAGATTTTTCCAAAAAATTCCCAGCCTGCGACGTCAATGCTCTTCATCCGCGATGAGACCAGGCACACGGAAATCAACTGGCGTTGAAAGGAAATCTGCATGAAGGGTGAGCGAAGATTAATTAATTTGCCAATCTAAACGTTTCGACTGCCCGTCATATACACGTACGAGTGTAACATGCTTTTAGCCAGTTTAATAGGTTGCTGGAGTGATTTCGATTTAAAGCTTTCGTGACTGCAGGGATTCATCTTCTTGGTTCTATCGGTAAAGTCATGTAGAATGGAAATAATAAAATAATAAAACATAATAAAATAATTCTCACGACGTTTCGGCCACAACGCAAGCAGCCGTCCTCAGGTGAAGAACAGGTCTGTCATTTAGACTCTGTCTTATCGACAGACCTGTTCTTCACCTGAGGAAGGCTGCTTGCGTTGTGGCCGAAACGTCGTGAGAATTATTTAATGTTTTATTTTTATTATTTTATTATTTCCATTCTACGTGACTTTACCAAAATAACCAAGAAGATGCTGGAGTGATGTTTGTAAGTACACTATACTCCTTTGTTAAGCCCCTTAGCTTCGCTAAGTCTTCGTTGGAGGTGTGAAGCATCAACTTTAGACCTCCCAGACTGCATGCCAGTAAGCGACTCAGCAATTCAACCAAATCAGACATGCTCATGACAACAAGCCGGGACAAGGAGCCATTGATGTAACAAGCGAGACATCGCAGACGACCGCTGCAAGGAGATGGCAGTCGGCAGCAGTGTGCGGCATTTCCCCAACCCGCCGAGAGTGGTGGAGATCGGCGCGGAAACCCGTCCAGGTGAGTGGAGGGTACAGACACACGCACACACTACACGCACAGCCCCTAGTGTCAATCCACTTGCCCCACACGGTACGGCTCCTTGTGGGTTGAAGGCGGGAGCGCGTGTACGCGTGAGCGGAGCGTGGTTTCGGTAGGACTGTGGATTCCGCTGCGCCCAGCGCCTGCCGTTTGTGTATGGCGGTTTCTCTCATGCAAGCAACGCATCGAGGCTCAACTCGTGCATAGAGTCCTAAATCTGACGAGGTCGATCGCATCCTCGGTGATTTTGACATCGAGTGGCCAGTTATGTGGTGCACAGCTTAGTTTCCAAACCTAAGGACGACCCCACACCAACATTCCAGATGACACGCGTGAATTACGAGATAATGCGCCGGGGATGGGGAAGCGTGAAATGAGGGTGCGGATTGGGGGGCGAAGTTGAACGTGCCAGCAAACGTGACCCTCCTTGCAGCAGTCGAATCTTTGTCCCTTGTTAATGAGATGCTGGGTGCCCCAACTTGTAAGTCCTGAGCGATCACATTCCCAACCGCCCTGGGTGCCTATCAAGATGAGACAAGACTGCCATTCATTATCATCATCTCTACATCTCTCTTAGCTTACAAACCAATTACACACTCTCGCGTGTAAAAAACGTCAAATATAAGTTTCAGAGAATTGACAACTTTCTGGCCTAGCTGTATTTTTGATATATGACTGACGTTAAGTTGTTACAGCGTCTACTGGCTCCTTGGATTGGTTCAAAAACAAACTTCGCACTCAACTATAACACGTTTCAAAACGGTTGCTTTTCCATCCTGCCATATGAAAGAGAAGTGGATTGTTACGTGATCGCTTCAATTGCGCGAGTTGGATGCGCCGTTGTTGAACAAACTCCCGGGTGGCTTTGGGGGTAAAGCATTGGCGAGGCTGCGAGTTAAACGACGCCAACTGGAATCCCTGGCGGCTGGTGTCACTCCAACAAGTTAAAACCTTCACCGGTAGGCATCGGCTGTTAACGGTTTAACCACTGCTGAACGACCATTAATTTAACTTAACAATCAAGACTCACGAGTTATGGGATGTTTTGGAAAGGCCCCTGAACCATAATGTTGTTCAGTCAAACCTCTCTCTCTGAAGTAACCCCCGCCCCCCCACCCCGACTCCTCGTGATGCGAGAACTCAACTCCAGGCAGTTTAATACTTCATTCAAAATGTGTGAGAGTTTACAAACCCCACACCCCCCCCTGCAAAACCCCCGCGATGTCCCGTTTCTGGCATTTTATTCACTTGCAAGAGCGAGCGATGCTTCATGACGCAGGGCAGATTGGACAGATGTGTCAGAAAAGTTCTACTGGTATATTTACTTTGCTAGAAGGAAAGGTACCAATAAATAAGGCAAACAGGAACACTGTCATATCGGGTGAAGCAAGGTTTTCTCACTTGTCGTACACGCCTCACCCGTCTGGTAACCGCGGCAGGCATCTTCAGAAATGAACAGTACAAAAATTTACTTATTTTACACCATCCCCCCTTCCTCGTCAGTTTGTACACCTGCAAGACAGAAGGAAATGCGCCGCGCCGGTTAGAAATATGTACAGACCGCCAGGACACTTTAAAAAACTCATATAAACATCACAAGCACTCAGGTTACAGGAATGAACGTGTTTGCTGGAGGCAACAGCTGTGCATGGTTTTCTATTCGACTCGTTTATACGATCTCTTTTTTTTTTATCTCCGTCTCATTGTGGATGAATTAGACCCACATGGTTGCAGGCTTAATGAGTTTCATGATTTTCAAAGTGTAATGATTGCATATCTCCACGGGCCACAGCCGCACGTTTATCCCAACTTTGCCGGTTCATTCTCTCGCAGAGGAGACGATCAGCTGGACATAGGAGCCTTCACTGAAACTCGACGCTCACTAATAAACTGCGTAGCCCTCAGAGGGGCTTTCGGCTTGGTGGATCCCACAAAGTTCCAAGCGCGTGCTGAGAAACGTCTGACGTCGTGCCGAACAGCACGTGGTATAACCCGAAAAAGCTACAGAGCAACAACGACCCCGACAACCTGCACAGGCATAACCCACCTATTCGAGACACGCGCATGCAGGTTTAATGGCAATCTATACTCTACGCATGTGTGTGTCTGTGTCACACACATGCTGCGGGTCACAAGTGTTGGGAAGTTTATGATTTGATGGCACACGTATGTGGCTACACAATTGGCGTGATAATGTTTAAAACATACCAAATCAGCATTCCAGACTCCCATTCAAACATGAAGGGACACACCAACCGTGCAGACATTTTTGTTCTTCAAAAGGTGTATTCAAATCTATGGTCTATTCCTTACAATAGGTTTAATCAGTCATTCTGGGTCAACTGTTACGTCCACACTATGGGGAAAACGCATTAAACTTCAGTCGCTCTGCGTATTAACTGGCGGGCACCCAAGGTCCGTTATCTAAGATCAGCGCCCATCACCTAACACCACCACGAAATGGCGCTGTGTATGCGCTCACCGCTCGACCGCGTCCGCCCCTTCCGCCTCACTTCCCCAGGTCCTGGCCGAGCGTGGACATCCCCAGCGCCAGGCTGCCCTGGTCGCCGGCCTCGCCGCCGGCCGACGCGACGCGGGCCTCCTTCTTGGCCAGCTTCCCCACTCCCGAGTCGCTGTCCGAGAGGTCGTTGTACACCACCACGGGGGGACCGTCCACTGCGGCGTAAAGGGGCAAAAAGGTCGTCGCCCGAGCGCTTGTTCACGCTCGCGTTCGTGCGCGCCGCTGTGCGCGCGTGCTTTGCTCGTTCACGACGTTCAGATATTTGGCTCCGCGTTGCCGTGAGCTTCTTTAGGAGCCGAATTATTTTCCGAGTGAATTGGGAATTTAACCGAATTGATTTTCCGAACAAGCTCCCAGCAACACGGAGCCGAATATCGGAACATCGTGAACGAGCAAACACGAGGCACTACCCGAAAATGCGTCGGAGCCAAAATGAGAAATAATCTTGACCACTGCCATGGCCACGATGGCGCCCTGCAATTCGTGAACCCCGTGTGTGTTGTGTTTAACAGCTCGGTGGAGCTTCTGTGAAAACCACGGCTATAGAGGGGCTTCAATGTAAAATGTTTGGGCAGACAATATAATTACACTCTAATCTGCAAAGTATTTCACAGCACTTTGGCAAATCTAATGAAGCTTTAAATTACAAGTCATGTATCATATATTTTACAGAGCCTTTGGGCAAGTTCACAGCACGCAGCAATTAACACGTGGCCCTGTGCGCGTTCGTGCCGGAGATAGCAGCCAGAATTTTTCAATCTCGTAATGAATGGCAATAAATTGTGCAAATCAAAGGCGCATTTAAATAATTGAAAGGACCTCAAATTAATAATTTAACGTTCGGTAAATTACATACATTTGCAATTATATCAATCATTTCCTATCACCGTTATGCAGTAACAATTAAAATGTTATCACAGGGCGATCTATTTATACATACCCTAACGATTTCTAATGACTCCCCTCGTCTTCCCAAAAGGCGTTTGAATATTGGCGAAAGCGATAGCGATGCTGAACTAGGCGTATCAGCAGTGTTAAAATACTCAATGCGTGTAATTGAGATTTATGGAAGACTTGTGCAGGCTTTGAATAAAAAAAATATATTCTCTACATTTTAGTTGAGTATCCGTAAATAAATCATGCAAGATCGTGGGTTAATGGGATAAACACGGCCTTCAGTCAAGTGCTGCGTAATGCACAGCGCACGCACGCACATGCGTGCACAAACTACAACTTTCGTTCACTCCACCAACCACGATTTGTAAGAGCCGTGCTATAAACAGGGCGTGTAATTTGCGATTACCCATAACGCGCCGCGAAGCACGCCTGGGCTGCTGGTGAAGCAGTACAAGCGGCAGATGAGACACGGGTGCGATGAAGTCATCCGTGAGTGCCGCAGGGGAGGAGGGGGGCATCGGGGTGGGGGGGGGCGGCCGTCTCTCCGATCGCTAACGCGGCAACTGCAGCACTGCCAGGCAATCCCTCCCTGCCAGTTGTACCCCGAGCGTCTGTTTTGGGTTTTTTCAGCTTCCCGCCCCAGCAAAAATCACAGCAGAGAGGTAAGGGAGCGTTAACTGCTACTTCAAATGATGATGGATACTTATCACATTCAAAACGCTGACACTGCCGAGCGGTAACAGCACCAATAACGTTCACGATTCATGAACGTGTGTTTGCGAGTGCCACTGCAGCTGGAATGCGCTGTGTAATCCCCCGTACCCTTCATCTTGTTTGCCTGCCTCTTGTGCAAGTGCGGTCTGGGCTAAATGTGTCTCGACTCGTGTAAGGTATCTTTGGGCTCGTGCGAGGAGTCGGGAGTGCATTCGGGGCTGTCGCGTCAGTGGGTTGATGCTCCCGTCTGGTTTGGACAGCTGAGAGTTCGCAATGGTTAATACAAACGGCTTTTTGTTGGCGGTGAGCAGCTATATCATGGGGCGTTATTTTCTAGTATCGATGCCATATATTATCATAGCATGTTTGTTTGCATGTTCACCACAAGTACGGGTGGTGAATGCGGATTTTATTCCTTGCAAAAGGTTTCTATTTGGTGTTTGAACATCTTAATACCTGAGAATAGGTTTTCCCCCTTTTATCTGGCAACAAAACAGTTGCGTTAAATTGTTAAAACACTAAACTAAAACCTTTTACAAGGAATCATGTCTGCATTAACCACAATACTTGTGGTCAAAATGCAAACAAAAAACATACAAACTCTGCATATATTAGCAGAGTATGCTTTTTGTTTGCATTTTGACCACAAGTATTGTGGTTAATGCAGACATGATTCCTTGTTAAAGGTTTCAGTTTGGTGTTTTAACAACTTAACACAACTGTTTTGTTGCCAGATAAAAGGGGAAAAACCTATTCTCATATTTTGGTACTGGCAAAGGAGGTCCCATGATCTTAATAACCGTTTTATTGTCAGAAAGGGTAAAAGTATTTTTTATTTTTCATAGCCTTTTGTTATTTTGTAAAAAGTCACATGGCCTATTATTTTTTATTTGTTGATCCCTGCATTTAAGAAGCTAATTTATAAATTCCTTCTCTCGCGTCAATGTGGTTTGCAATGCTTAACGTGCTCAGATTCAATTTGCGTGAACGATGCAATATAAAATGATTATTCACTTTTCACAAGGAAAAAAAACCAGTCATTAAAAAGATAAGGCGTTCTACAAAAACGTCTCGCTCTGTAGACACAATGCCAAATTTACTCTGCTGACACATTTTACAGGTGCCACCACTTATCTTTACTGCGCGCGCGCACACAATGGGAGTGGTGGCACAGCGGTTCACGCACCGTGCAATGAACCTGGCGACCCCGAGTTCAATTTGTGGCCACGGCTAACATCAGTTGTGGGAGATGACTGAAACAGTTATGCTGGTAGGAACCACGTGGTTCCACCAGCCCACAGGGGATTATTGTGTCCGTCCGTCGTGCATCCAAAAATGGGAAGGGTGGGGCTGGGTGGAGAGGGGAGGGTGGGGCTGGGTGGGGGGTGGGAGGGGTGGGGCTGGGTGGGGAGGGGCTGGTCACCCCGTGGTGTCCTTATAAAACTGAACATTTAAGCTACACACGCCGGCTTGTGCCCGCCCTCACAGTCGGCCATATTTGCAGAATACACCACGTCGCCGTTGACCCTGGCCATTGACCGAGCAACCCAACGTTCCTACCAGCTCCCTCCGCAGGAATGTGTTACAACCTTCATCTCCGCCATTGCCTTCTTCACCAACTGCACTGACCAGCGTGGGGAAGTATAGTCAAACAACCCCCATGAACTACAATTCAGTCGTGGAACGGCATCGGGCTGCGAATGACTTTACTCAATTATTTCTGTTTTGAAGTACCACAAAGTCCACATGCTTAGCACTTGACACGCACAGCTCATGCACATATCACAGTGACACAATAACAACACGGCATTCACATATCCATTACGCCCACACCAGTGCGCTACACCACACACAGCCTTTGTGCTATCACCACCACAGCACTCGCCGCAGCGTTCACACTTACACCACGACGCTTACGGCCACACTACTCACGCCACATTACGAACTTGCATCTCCGAAACTCTGACATCGCAATGGTTGAGAGCGTTCGAACCTCAGAGTCGTTGTCCTTGAGCCTGAGCTTGTTATAACGCTCTTCCAGGGCAACCCCCTCAATCGAATGGTGACACCCAAATGACAAAGATGGATTCGCCAGGGGTGCAGAGCTTTCAAACAATAACTGTCAACTGTCATACCCCTTTTCCACGTGCACATCCAAGCCGTGCCAGCAGGGAGCCAGCACGTCACGGGTGGTTTTCCACTGCCATTTTCCCGAGCCGAGCCAGAACCAAGCCGCCATGCTACCTGGCCTCACAAGGCACCGAATCCGACTCGGGTCCAAGCCGTGCTAGGGGCGGGGCTAACGATGGGCGCAAAGCGTGTGACGTCAGCGGCGCGGCTCGGCAATCGGTGCTTCTCACACCCTATGCAGTGCTAGCTCGGCGGTGGGTGGCGCTTACGTGGCGGCTGCGCGGGTGAGAGCACGCGGCCTCGCGCGTCGCTGTCGCTGCCGCCGCTGGAGCGGCTGGTGCTGGAGGACGAGGAGCTGCAGGAGGAGGAGGACGATGACGAGCTGCTGTAGGGCAGGCTCGCCAGCTTGCGCTGCACCGCCGCCTCGCGCTTGCGCCGCAGCTCCCGCAGGCGCTCCTTCTGCTGCTGGCTCCGCCGTTTCCCAACGCCGCTGCCACCAACGCCGCCTCCGCCGACGCCGCCGGCGCCCGCGACACCAGCGGCGTTGCTTACCTGGGCCTGGGGGCAGCCGCGTGATTCGTCAAGGAGCTACGCAACGACCACCTCTCAAATCCCAATGGACTACGAATGAGTTAAATGCCTTCTTGTCAACGGTAGCGACGTCGCCAGGCGTGACGTAACACCACGCTTGGTGTCATTAAAGTGACTTCACTTCATCCGATGTCATATTTACGGATCAATCCGAAACAGACACTGAATAATTCAGAAACATCCCTCCAAGAGACACATACTTCCTAAACAGGACTGGTCACACAGAGTGGGGAATTTGGCCTAAGTTTGTCATTTAAGACCAAATTAAGGAAATATAAAAAACATAACATCAGTTATTCGATCCAATCAGCCACTGCACTACAGCCAAACAACAATGCAGACTAATCGATTAATGTTGAGTCTTACATTCACAACACAAGCATCAATTTGTGCAAACTAAAATGTCATTCTTTTCAATTTGTACGTGTTCTAAATGTGCCCACTGTTTTCTCAACAGTATCTTTGGATGCTATTCTATATATCCACATTTTATTTTATTCATACACATTGAGTAAAATACTCAAGTAAATCGATCCATTGCAAATCAAATTATGACCTCAAACTGTGACAAAAATGTTTAATGTTGGGTAATTGTTACACCCCTACTCGACTCTGTAAACCCTCGGTAACATTGTCTCAAAGAGTCAAGAAGTTGCCCACTCACAGAATGGCTTGGCGAAGCCTTTACTCATTAGATTCATAATTTCTGCACACGAGGTGGATCGCCACACACCCGCTATGTTGTAACCCGGAGATCACGGATGTCACTGCAGTCACAAAAATCTTCAAATTAGCTGTTGCAGCTCCTAGCCATCCCACATGCTACACACTCAACTCCAGTCTTCCCGATAAAATCCCAACGATGATCTCTGTAAATAAGGAAGCACATGACCTGTAATGATGTCAGGCAGTGTGTCTATTGTTGGAATGTTCCATGCGTCAAAAATGTGAATAAAGGAAATCTTTTTTTAAAGTGGCTGTTGCAACACGTCAGATTAGGCACTTCCTTTATATCTTTTTAAACATGCCACACATCCGTAGGAGAGCGAACCACTTTATTCCGTGACCTTTCTGTGAATCGTTATTATTATTTTGTCCCCCGCACCACAGCCGTGAATTAAAAAATAACCTAGTGACAAATTCGTGGTCCCCTAATGATCACGAACGAAATGGCACGGTTGTAAAAAAAAAAAATGCAACGGCCTCACCTGACAGGGTCCACGCCGCAGCCAAACCTTCTTGCCGGGGCTCCCCGACGCACGGTTCTTCTTGCTGGCCACGGCCGACGGGTCGCTCTCCGAGCGGGATCGTCGCGGCCTGCGGTGGCCCCCGCTCGACTCGCTGGGGCTGCCCCGTCCGGGCGTCGTGGGGTCCTCGTCGTCGCCCCGCCTCGCGGCCGCCGCCACCGCCGCCGCCGGCCGGCTCGCCGTTTCACCGCCGCCGCCGTTGTCGTTGGCGGCGGCGGTCGTGGCGGCGGACGTTGCGGCGGCGGCGGCGTTGTCTTCGGAAGAAGAGCCGGTCTCCGAGTCGCCAAACTGCAGGCTGGAGGACGGGGACAGCGAGCCCGAGTCGCAGCCCGCGTCGCTCTCGCCAGCGCCACGCACGTCGTCGGTGGCCTGCGGGGAAATCGGCGACGTGGCTCACGTTAGGGTCGCGAGGGGGAAAGGAGTTCCTATCACAACCCCAATCGAATAACACGATGACTGCAGCCCTACCGGAATACACAACCTCACACCGACCTAAACACAAGTAATTTCTGTTGTGGTAGTAGTTGGCTTATACTTTTGTATTGTAGTAGATGTTTGGATTGTGGTCGCTGAGAACGTTATTGCGTTAGTTGGTGTCTTGTGTGAGATGGTGCGTTATCTTCTATCACTCGTCCACTATCCTATTGACATCCTGACTTGTCTGCAAACTATAACCTCACTCTTGCCAACCGTATCCGATTCTCGCCACAACACAGAATTTAATTCCTATCAAGCTAACTCAAATCACGAGAAACGCCCACCGCAATAATGTAAACTCATACCCTAACACAACCCCATTCCCATCACAACACACGACCTCTCTCTTTTACAAACATAACCGCACCCCAACCTAGGACGACATCTCCGACTCACACCGCAACAAGCAAATCCAACTTCTACAACACACACCGCCCCCAGCGGTAAGCAAGCACAACAACCGCACACACACCACAATACGAATCGAAGCACACAACTTATCTGCCATCAGGGGCGATCACACGGCTCAGTGACAGCGTGTTCACCGCTCACGCCAGAGGTTCGCAGTTGGCAAACCGGAAGGCCGCCCTAGTATTTACTCCAGGTGCAAAAAACGTGAAATACGTGCTGTCTGCTGCACAGTGGGCGTAGAGATGCCCTGACGTCATTCGAAACCAGTGGACTATTGCGTGCTGGTGTCGTGGTTCTAATTTAGCAAATTTAAAAATGGCCCGCAAATTACTCAATTAGAAATTACACAATCACCACCCGATTGCAGGCCAGGTGGTATACCACTTTGTGCGCACAGGGACAGTTGCAAAAAGAGGGTGTGCAATGAAATGTTTGAGATGACACAAGTGATGGCATGCAAAGCGCTACGAGACGTCCCAGGGTAAATGGTGCTGTCAAAAAAACACATTACCGCAACGCACCTGACTCCTCACGTAGCATTACTCAAGCACAACAAATAAATCTAGTTATCACATAAAACACCATATAAGGCCTACCATCATACAACCTCGCTTCTACCTCACCGTACAACCTCGCTCAGTGGGCCCTGGTGCTAGGAAATAAATCAAGGCCTTCTTTGAGCAAATTCCACCCTGCTCGTAGCCCAGTCTCCCCTAGGCCCCCGCAGCATGTGGGCTAAGTTGCAGTCGCATCATGTGCACACTCAACAGGTACACCAGTGACCCCCCTCCCTACTCTAACCAGAACGCACGCGCGCTCCTACCACCGTGACACCACACGGCTTAATCACCTTCGGCTCTACGAGGTACATTGGCTCTGCGCGGCCCCGCGCTTACCTGCGCTACGGACGACGGGAGCGACTCCTCCTGGCTGACCTCCATGTCGGATCCGGCCGGCAGAGGCGGCACCGCGTGCTGGCTGTTGGCGAGCGCGCCCTGCCGCTTGGGCGCTGCGTCGACGCTGCAGGCGGGCACCTCAGCCGCTTCGGTCGTGGCGCCGTCACCACGCTCCGCCCACGGCTTCTGTCCTCGGCCGCTGGCGACGCTAGCGGTGTCGGCCTGGCAGCCGGGCTCCATGCTCCCTCCTCTCTCCTCCCCCCCTCCCTCCCTCCCTCCGCAGGATAGCGGGGGTCACCACGTGAGCCCTTCCTTCTTCCGCCGAGACCTCGGTGAACCCTTGAGATAGAGAGAAAGCTGCAGACAGGCGACACGGCCAATGCACAACGCTGAATCGAGGAGAAATGATAGCTGGAGGCGACATCTATTTTTAAAAGCGGCTATTACCTCTGTGTATCGATTGCACGATTGTAAACAGCATGCCGAGGTCAACCGTAACAATGACTTTAAACTTGCGCGGCTCAGGGGAAAAAAAAAATCGGATTTAATGGTGCCGCCTCTACTCGGTGAAACCATCAGTGAGCACACACCACAAAGGCGAAGTGTGCTGCAGACTCGTAACATTCCATTACACACGCCTCCCTTTCCGGGCCACTGCGTCCTGCATGTACACAGATGCATTCCTCTGAAGACATTAGCTGCATGTGCAAGAGCCGACTCGGGACACAGGCGATGATTTCACCTCAAAATGCATTTTCACATCAGCAGCAATTGGATCTGCACACACCACACGCGGAGGTGCAGCCACACCGGGCGATGTTCCAATGGGAGGCTGCCTGGCGGTGGGGTGTGTCCTACATGGACAGTTCCCAGACTTGAAATGTTATAGTTAAAGTTTGGGTAAGGGTTGTTGTTGTTTCCTTAAGACTATTGAGTGTTAATGAAATGAAAATAATAAAACAGTAACTAACCCTGGAAACCTCGTCCTGTATTTCATTGTGGTGGTCAGTGAACAGCACACAAAGATGACGGTTTTGAACAATATTAAATTATTTCGTAATTATCGATGTAATGATTCTCACCCCACAGCGAATCGATTCATTTTCATAGTTTGGGGTCGTGATTCGCTGCAACAATCAACGATTTCACATCTTGTTTCCACGGTCTCGTTTGCACCGCTTCTCTTTTTTAATGTCTTATTGTACAGTTTTGTTCGCACAATTAGCAAATTGTCCGCAATAAAATACACATATTGCACGTATGTTGAACTTCTTCCGTACCGTAGTACGTAGCCAACTGTGCTAATTGGAGGTCCTGCGGAAGGACAAGTACAAATTTTGAATAATCGATTCTCACACAAGATATGATGTGTCACGAGCTCAAAATATATTTTCATCAACGCAATGCAGTGGTACATGCTAATTGGGAATCAACGGTTTGAAACCTTAGCTTCTTAGGGTTCCGTGTACAGGATAGGGAAGGCTCGCGCAGACAAACCAAGGGTACGGCACAGCGAGAAGAGGGCCCTACACAATCACTTTCCTGGGACTTGGCATGCCTCCCTGCGAGTGCATTTGCTGGCGTCAATATATCCACGAGGCGCGTAACGCTCGCCGAGTCTTCTATCTTCAACTCCTGCTCAGCAGCCTAGGGGCAGGCCCCATCCATTTTGCTGCCCCGTGCATCGCGACCGCCGCCACCCCGCACACTCCGAGTGACATCACGCACACGGCAATCCCGTGGAATCAGATTGCACAAATTAATGAGTCCAGCCTCGGGGTTGGAATCAAATTTCACACCAACGGGTCAAGCACAGCGAGATCCCATTGCAGGTCAACAAAGCTGGCCCACGACCTTACTGTGTGGGTTAAAAATAAATTACAGATTGTTCTTTTCAGGGTTTTTATTGCTAGAGGTAAGCGATTAACTTGCGAGAGGTCTGGGTCTGAGAAAAACTAAGGCCTGCAAGGATTAGGGGTGAGGTTAGACGTTAGGATATTATTTAAAGGTTATATTTTTTTAGATTATGGTCAAATGTGAAAAAGAGCTTAGCGTGTGAGGGTTAAAGGTTAGGGCTAACATAAGGACTAGCTTATTAGGGTCAGGTGGTTACGGTAAGGCCTCGCATTTTTTAGTTAGGGTTAGAGTAAAGGTTAGCCTTGTTCAGGGTAAGAGTTAGGTTTTTTAGTTATAGGGGTTAGGCTTGGTAGGCTTACGAGGTCGGTCATAGGCAAATAGGGCAATGGTTAAGTTGTGAGGATATCACCATGCGATCAGGTTCCACTGACCTTTCTGTGATACTTCACTACCAGGGGCTTGGAATTCAAATGACTTAACCTGAGACTATAACATATTGTCCTGGCATTCAAATATGGACCTGATAAGGGCTCGGGACAGTGGACAAATCACAGCCTTGATACATAAACCCAAAACGCCCAAGACAAATCGCCCTCCTCAACAGCAGCAGTAGGCATGGGCCTGGCCTCGAGTTAAGGGAAACCGCTCGGACAGACAAAACCCCAAATCCACTGTGGAGGATGAGGAATAGAGGGGGATACATGGGAGCTCTGTGCAACAAGACAACAGAAACCTGCATGCCTCCCCACACTTGCGTTGCCAGGGTCGCTTCGTGCTTAGGGAGCCCTGGGATTTGAAGCAGAACCCTGTGCAAAGGCCAGCTCAGATCTATATTACAAACCAGATCCCAATCCAACCTAGGCAACAACTCAAACGACAACCGTAACATGGACACAAATTCAGACCCCATCTCAGACCCAGATCTCAATCCAGCCCAATCCAGACTCAACCTCCAATTCTAAACCTGGCCATAAACCGGCCCTCAATATCAAGTGAGAGATCAACCCTAACGCATCCTCCAACCTCGTCCCCCGCCCCAAACCAGACCCCAAACACTGCACCAGCCATAACCTCAACCCCGATGCCAACCCCGGCCCAGATTTCAAACCAAACCTGGACCCACCCCTACCCAGACTTAAATTCAGACCCCCAACCCACTCGTATCACTTTCCGAATGGCACATCAAGAGTCGTGACAGCGTGGTCTACTCGCGGTGCAGGCGGTTTTCCACTGGCCATTCCGAGACGAACTAAAACGAAATCATTTAACTCTGGTCCAACAAAACATCTCAAACTGGCTCCGTGCCAAGCAGGGCCAGAGATGGGGGTCATTAATTTTCATCATACAATTGCGTCAGTCAGTACATTCTAGGAAGATTCACGTATTTTCATCGCATGAAAGGTCAAGCCGGTCAGTAACCCCGTGAGGACAGCGACGTGTCGACTCGCTCACCGCGTGTGACGTCAACAGCAGCACGGCTCGCCTTCTGCAGTGGCAACAAAAAAACACATCAAGCAGCAGCACGGCTCGCCTTCTGCAGTGGCAACAAAAAAACACATCAGCAGCAGCACGGCTCGCCTTCTGCAGTGGCAACAAAAAAACACATCAAGCAGCAGCACGGCTCGCCTTCTGCAGTGATAACAAAAAAACACATCAACAGCAGCACGGCTCGCCTTCTGCAGTGATAACAAAAAAACACATCAACAGCAGCAGCAGCAGCATCAACCTGGAGACTTCCACACAGAATTGAAAATAACCAACACCTAAACGAAGCCTCACACACATGCCCCGGCCCCGGCCTTCGATGACACCGCCAATGATGATGACTCAGGCAGTGATGATGACTCAGGCTTGGGTCCCCCTTAGCTCGGGCCACCCTTAGCTCGGACCCCCCTTAGCTCGGACCCCCCTTAGCTCGGGTCCCCCTTAGCTCGGGTCCCCCTTAGCTCGGGTCCCCCTTAGCTCGGGTCCCCTTAGCTCGGGTCCCCCTTAGCTCAGGCCCCCCTTAGCTCGGGTCCCCCTTAGCTCGGGTCCCCTTAGCTCGGGCCCCCCTTAGCTCGGGTCCCCCTTAGCTCGGGTCGCTCTTAGCTCGGGTCCCCCTTAGCTCGGGCCCCCCTTAGCTCGGGTCCCCTTTAGCCTGGGCCCCCTTAGACTCGCCCACCTCGCTATCCTTTGTCTAGGTTCCCTCTATCCCCTAAACGAGTTCCAAATCCACTCTCTCCTTCTTCCCCCGGGCGGCATGTACCTGGGTTCAGGAGCCCCTTTGACCCCCTTGAGGCCAATGGTCCCCTCGGCCCCCTCGACGGGGGTTTCCCTTTCGCCGGGGTCCCTAGGCCCCGGTCCCCTCCTCTCGCCCCCTTGCCAGGGTACCAGGGACCCCTGTTCCCGGCTCTCACGTCCCTTCGCTCGACTCGTGCCTGGTCATCTATTCCGGGGTCACCCCCATTTCACCTGGGTCCCAGGTCCACTTTTCACGGCTCTTCTTCACCCGTGCCCTCTTTAACCAGACTCCCAGGTCCCCTTCACCTCGATCCCAAGTTCCCTCGGAACCCCTCACCAGGGTCCCCTATACCAGGGCCCCCTTTATCCCGGGCTCCTTTAACCTAAAAACCAGGCCACCCTTCACTCAACCGCTTTAACCTGCCTAGCTCGCAGGTCCCACCAGATCCCCTCTGGTCCCCCATCATTACTCGGGGGTTCCCGTTCACCCGTGGGTACCCCTTTACCTGAGCCCCAGGTCCCCTGCGGTCCCCCTCGCTCCAGTCGCAGTTCCCCGCTGCCCGAGGCGTGCGGGCCCCGCCGCTGCGTTCACGTTGCCTACAGCGCATGCGCGCCGCGCTCCCCTCATCCCCATTGGTCGAGAGCCCCGCGTCGGGGGGAGGGGCGGACAGCCACGCTTTGACCAATGGGAGACGAGCGAACGTCCCCCGGTGCGGTCTACGAAATGTAGACACGCGGGCCACAACCCACTCCAACCCACCGCAAGGGGCTGTTTGTATTTCCTAGAGCGGTTCGGCGCGCTGCGTTTTGTGTCGACGGACGCGATTGGTCGGTTTGTGTCGGGAAACGGACCAATGGTGGGGGTGGGGGGATAGCGGTGGGGGCGGGGGGTCGCGCGCGCGCGTCATGTGACGCGCCTGGCGAGCTGAGCCAATGGGATTGCTCGCCTAGCCGGCAAGGTCCCCTCGCTCCGTCACGTGCGTCCAGCGTGGGTGCAGAATGAAAAGCATCGACGGGAGTGGTGGGAGTGGAGGAGGAATCCGATGAGCCGTGAAGCTCTTTATCACAGATGTTGGGGTGGGGGGGGGAGGAAATAAGAGCGTTACAAAAACAAACAATATAAAAAACACGTAGGCTTTCGCGACCAATATCGCTTCTGAAGCGAAGATCTCAGTGCGCGCCCTGAGCTGGGAAGATACAAAAACACGTTTTTGTTTTATTTGTGAATATTTATTTTAAGTTATTTAATTTAGCTTTCCTATACAGTACTTTGCACTCCCATTGTGTTTTTGCATTGCTTCTTGTTTTAACGTTGTGACCCCCTTACTGGCACACCTGTGACAATGAGCTTCATAGCGTATCGGATTCCTCCTGCACGATTAACACGGACTGTGACAACGCCAGTTCTGCACGCGCGTGACGTCATTGCGTGTCGGTGACGTCATCGCGCGTTGTCGACGTCATCGTGTGGCTATGACGTCACGCTGTAATTTGGTACACGGGTGAGGGGGGGGTCCCGGCGGGGGGGGGGAGTGTCTCGGGGGGGGGTTCGGGGGGGGGGTGTCTTGGTGGGGGGGGAGGGTTCTCGGGGGGGGGCCTCGAGAGGGGGGGGGGGATCGGTGGGGGGAGGGGGTCTCGAGAGGGGGGGGTGGGGGGTGTGTCTCGGTGGTGGGGGGGGGGGGATCGGTGGGGGGGGTCTCGAGAGGGGGTTGGGGGGTGTGTCTCGGTGGTGGGGGGGGGGGATCGGTGGGGGGAGGGGGTCTCGAGAGGGGGAGGGGGTCTCGGGGGGTGTGTCTCGCTGGTGGGGGGGAGGGGTTCGGGAGGGTGTCCCTACGCAAGATGGCCGCAGGGCCTCCTCCCCGCGTTGTGTACCCAGGGCGTGGTGTGTGGCACGTGGCGTGTGGCGCGTGGCGCGCGGCGCGCGGTTGTTGTGGGTCGACACGCGGTTATCACAAAGCCGCCGCTGTGTGTTTCCACTTTCACTGCAAGCGCTGAAGCAGAAACAGCAACACTCGAGACGAAAGCGAGACCCCTTGAAGGCACCAGTCGGGCTGAAAGATTAATCGATTTCAAATCGAAATCGCAATTTGAAACAATGTGATTTTTTGCGATTTTAAAAGTGCTATTATGTACTTTATTAGTGGAATAGTTTTTTTATTATTATAACTTTATTTATTTAACTTCACATTTGTTCTATGTTTGATTGTTTTATTTCAATTAAAATGTTTTGAAATAAATACATGTTGGAAGCAATTCATATCTATTAAAATATATAGGGCAGTTCATATTTTATGGTATCATGTGGTAATGCTCCATCACATGTTAAATCTATTACACAGTGAATATTGAACTGAAGCTTGACTTTTAAAAAAATGTAATGGCAAATCAAATCGCTATTCGATATTTTCCACAAACCGTTCAGCCCTAAACACCAGTGGCAACTTTCTTCGATGCAAGTGACGTTCATCACGAAGACGACCGCCTGAATGTGAAATTTCTGTTGTTTCTCTGCATCTACATCGGCCATACAAAAGATCACCGGTCTCATTCGTCGGTCATGATCCATTGCATCCGCATGCTCTTCTGCCCACGTGTCTCCAATGTGCTATCTAACCCACGTGTTCCGTTCCGCCTGTGTAATCGCAAGTGTCTTCTCCACGCTTGTGTGCACACTTTTCGACATGTTCGTGGTCTCTTTTTAAATCCTTTATATTAAGTTCGCTTGCGTGCTTGCTTGCTTGCTTACGACCGTGCAAATCTTTCGGGCGTTTTTTAACCCACTTCCCGTGATCCAATCGAGCTGACATTTTGCACACAGACTCGTTGTGCGAGACAATTAATGTTAGGGGGAAAAAAAAATCCAAAATTTTACACTGTTTAGGGAAAACAAAATAAATATTTAATTACCAATTGTTTAATACTGCAGACAATCATCTGACCCATAGGTGGCAGCCATCTCAAGCCAGAGGACGAGAGGACTCTAGCCGCCACGCATATAAAGGATTTAGAGTGAAAAACTTTTTTTTACGGGTTAATTTTTATCAGTTGTCCACGTTTCTGATCCGCATGTCATAGGCGGTACACTGATTTTCACTGAATAAAAATGACCACCACTTCATTGTGCCCTTGTTGGCCTCATTTTATAATTTTGATCCTGATATACCCAGTAATTTTTCGAAATAAATTGCTTCCTAAGCCACCATATCTACCGCTATTACAATCCGCTGCCCGTTGCTACAATGGCATCACCATAACAAAATAATCCGACTTGACTCCTTACCACACCTTACGATTAGGACTTTTCGATTTAAAGCTTTCGTGACAGCAGGGATTCATATCCTTGGTTCTTTCGGTAAAGTCACGTGGAAGGGAAATGATAAAAATAAAACAATTAAATTATCACGTTTCCATTGCAACACAAGCAATCATCATGTGTGAAAACCACACATTTTCTTGCTGTGGTTTTCACACCTGATGATTGCTTGTGTTGCAATCGAAACGTCGTGAGAATTTAATTGTTTTATTTTTATTATTTTATTTCCCTTCTACGTGACTTTACCGAAAGAACCAATAATATGATTAGGACTTTCTCAACACACACAGACCACCACCGCCCTCCTCATTCATACATGTCAGCTTAAAACTCTGAATGTAGCTTCTCATTCACGACCAACCTGCACACCGACACCTGGCACACACCCTGACAACTCTATAGCTACGATCACAAACTGTTCGTTAGCTTCACAAGTGTGCGGGTGATTGCTGTTCATCTCTAAATTAACATTATATTATCCACCATAAACTCACGTTTTAACTCTTATATAAATAATATATCCCTTTACCTCACACCCGACCATCCAGCTTAGCAAAACGAAAACGTCTGATCTCACCTCGACCTCAGGTCTCTCCTCTTTACTTGAGCAATGTTGACAATTAGCAAATTCACTTCATAACGACTCCAGTTCCAGCGTGCACCTCCTAAACTCGAACCTTACACTGTCAAAGAGTATAGGACACCTCGATTTAAAGTTTTTGTGACTGCAGGGATTCATCTTCTTGGTTCTTTCGGTAAAGTCACGTAGAAGGGAAATAATAAAATAATAATATAATTCTCACGTTTCGGCCACAACGCAAGCAGCCGTCCTCAGGTGAAGATTCAGACACAGTCTCCCCGACAGACCTGGTCTTCACCTGAGGACGGCTGCTTGCGTTGTGGCCGAAACGTCGTGAGAATTATTTTATTATGTTTTATTTTTTATTATTTTATTTCCCTTCTACGTGACTTTACCAAAAGAACCAAGAAGTATAGGACACCGTGAAGTTGTGAGTTCATCTTTACTCCCCCCCCACCCAGCATGGCTCAACTCTGCAGGACTTCGGTACCTCCATCTGTGCAACACCTGCAATAAAGATGTCCTTACCCCCACGACCGCCAAGACCATCACTCACTCATTACCCTTGGTCCATGCTGGATGGACGATTAAGTGGCGTTTTATCACGTGGGTTATAATTGTCCAATAAATTCACCAAATATCTGAACAGCTGCCAATAAACTGCAGATTTGTTCTTTTTGAAAAAGTGGTCAAAGTTGAAATTTGTGCCGAGCCAGTCTTCCAAGTGTTCATAATGCCCTCGAATAAAAACATATATGGGTGTTATAATAGCATCTGCCTACAGCCCGTCAACCAGGACATTGCTTACATTTTTTTATTTGACACAATGCGCATGACAAATCGTATAAATTAAAATACAAACGATCTTTCAAAACGCAGTTACATCACTAACATGTACAAAAGGTCAACCGCTGTTACATTTCAATGGGCACGCAATCCCAACAGCCCTTGGGGGACCAGGACCACGACCTCCGCTTTCTCGTAAAATTTTATTACTTTCCCAAACTTGTCCTTAAAAACCCCTAACATTTAAAATGCAAGACTTCTCATGAAACGCCCTATGGTACTGTGTATCTGGTATATCTCAGTCACTGAATTCTGTATAATTCCCACAAACAAGAATTCCAAAGATCTGTATAAGGGAAATAAAACACAAATAGCAACTGTGAATAAAATAGAAGTCATCACAGGCAACACTTAAAACGGCAGATTTACATTCCAGGATAATTACAAGTTTACAGTAATTCTGCTATGCAAAGAACTGCAAAACGTCTGCAAAAGTTACTGTCCACACGCAGTGGTGTAATAAAACATTGTCAAGGATATAGTAAAATAAAATATCTGTTTTGAAATCTCTGTTATATATAGCAATTAAAAAGTAGGAAGTTGCATGAATAAGAAGCTGCAGTGTTAACTTGTTATTCATGGCAGCATTTTAGCGTCCAAACTGCAGCAAAGAAGTCACAGAAAAAACCCAGAAACACACAAAGTCCCGTTGCACGCACACAGAAAATACTGGCGACAATGTTTGCATGAGCATGCCACCTGCATGCCGTTCCTTTCATGTCAATGCTACCACATGAAACATTGAAACACAAACAAAACACCCTGGTTAATATCTAGATTGTCATTCAACTTTAAAAAGAGAAATGTACAGTATACTTATGTCATTGTAGAAGGTGCAACACAAGTGGATACTTGGATGAACCCTAACCTGGCAGTCAAAGCTGGAAGGGTCTTGTGCAGAACGAGAGCAATTTATAGTCAACCTTCCAATACAATCAGGCAATGCACCAGAATAATTAGAATGAGAATAACGTTTCTGGTCTTTAACACTTTAATTTCCATAAAACGATGTTGGTGTTAAGCATACTCTATACCAAATCACAACAAAACCATACCAATGAAATGCAAGACTCAGCCCAATCAGGTGTTTGTGAATGTGTTACCACGAGATTGCCACTGTGTGTAGTGTGATACATTTTGCACACGTGACCATTTTTCCCATCAGTGTTTGTAAAAAGCACGCGTTTTCTTTACAAAAGTGAAAAAAATAGAGGTTTATCACAATACAAATCTTAGCAAAAACTTTAAGCAGTACTATAGTACTTGACGACAGTGCCTGCACCTACAAAGAGAGCAACATGCAACTGGTTTAGGCGAGTGGCTTGAGTGTGGTGCCCTTCTGTCCGGTTAGTGTAAATCCAAGTCAATTTGTACAAAGAACACAGCTTAATCTGGTAAAAGACCATACAATAAAATAAAAGCAACCTTTGACAATTAGTATTTTAAATTCCACCATGCTTCATGTTTATACTGTTGAAAAAGGGTTCCTGAGAAACCAAACAGAACAGCTTAAATTGTTATCAAAGATATCAGCATGTTAATGCAGTTTATATAATTGCTTGTTCGACTTCTGTGGCAAACCTGCATGTTTTTTGTCGGACCGTTTGCCCTCTACCAACCTTTAGCTCAACATCTCGGTAAAAAAATGCAGATATGCATCGATAAAGGTACGTATAAAAGCAACCATCTGCAGCAACACTTTTGATCACCGCCCTGTGTTACCACACTTTGAAGTCTGCAAGCTTACAACAGTCGAGTGGACTCAACTGGTAGGGATAATGGACACAGCATTGTTACGCCACCACGGTGTTCCACGTAATGGCGTAGAGGAGTGGGCGATCTTAACTCTGTGCAGTTTCTTCATTGTCATGAAAAAATGTGAAGCCACCAGGACCTCAAGGAAGGTGCAAACTGTGCCAAAAAAGTGTTCTGCATGGAGCGCCGTTTCAAGTGGCACGCTACGAGCGCTCAGCTTGTCTGGTGAAGGTTCGGGGCACGGAGGACGCTGGGTTCCCGAGTGCGGTAGCTGCCCGATCGTTAGCTCAGTCTGGTGGCAGGAGGTCATGGAGACGAAACTTGTCCCGAATGTACGGCCGTACATCAACGTCCTAGAGGTACGAGAACAACCACAACGACAAGCTCAAGTTTACTCTCCATTGTTCACCACAATGGACACATGGGCCAGAACATATTATTTTATTTATGTTAACCTCATGTAAATAATACGTGACCACTCGCTTTACATTTACGGCAGAGAAAACAAAGCAACTGCACAAACTGTATAAAAATATGATGGCAACTAGGATGGTCAAATCAGCAAAAATTCTTATTGAATAAACATTTCAAAACCGAAATTGATCAATTTTATTACTTTGAGGGGAGGGGGTAAATTGGGCATGTCCCAACTTTACTCATTCACTCATCTAAATTATCGCCATGCACTTTTACCCATATTCCCTCTCTCTCTCTGTTGTGCAATCGCAACTCGTGCCTCACAGGCTCTGTGTTAAACATGTTTGTCCTTTATAGCTGCACTGTCTTATATACCAGGCCACACAAATCTGGCCCAAATTCACAGTAAGCCTGGGGGGGAATGTGGGTAGCATTAATCTGGTTGCATCACCAAACAGCAAAAGTTTGTTGCAATTTCTAACAAACATGCGGTTATTGTAGGACATCATAGTCGGACTCTGACCGCTTTAGTGGACAAGTCATGGGGGTCAGTTGGTCTGATGTATGTACGTAGAATTTCTTTCGCACCGTACGTAGCCAACCGTGCTCATCGGAGGCTATACCTGGCTGGCACTGATAGGCACAGCCACGCAAAGGATATGGAGCACGAGTGGTTGCATTTGAAATGGTCGCGTTGGAAAATAATGCCATCGGCACAAACGCTGCAAAGTATGATCTTGTGTTTTGATTTAGTGTGCCGATATTAAAGGTGCATTGAAAAATGTTGATACTCCGACTGATGCTCCTGCTGTTGTGGAGTGACTCATGCAGCCAGCTATGGCTGTAGGGTTTGGTGGTACACGTTGTTTATGTCGTTTATTGTGAAAATTCGGTCACAGTTCTTATGATCACTGTTACATTGCATTTATGGCTTTATTTTAGTGATTTCGAAAAGTTTTTTGGTTTGGCCATGTTTGTTTGTTGTAGTACGGAGTCAGACTGATGGCCTTAATCTAAGTTGTCTTGTGGTTGTTTTTGTTGACTTGCATCCTACTGCCATTTTTGCACACAGCGTTGGTGTACAGTCACTTTAAGATGTTTTCTTGTTGATGTTTTATTTTTTGTTTGTTGCGGTTGCACCCGATTCAAGAGCCGAATGGCTCACAGGGCTTTACCAAATTAATGAAACTGAATCCGACGGCATTCGCTGGCACTCACCATGCGCACCAGCCTCTCCAGGAAGGGGATGAGTTTGAGCAGCTCCGTGTCGCCCCGATCCATGAACCAGCTTTCGATGGGGATCCCATTGGACAGCTGTCGAGATGGCACACACACACACGTATGTAGAACTTCTTTTTCACCGTACGTAGCCAACCGTGATAATCGGAGGTGTGTGGGGAAGGACAACAAACTAAACAGTAGTTCTAGAGAAATGAGTTTTTAATCTAGCATAGCTCCAGTGGCTTCCTAACAAATCTATGACCAGCCATTGACAAATCCGAACTAATTTCCCCTTTGGTCAATTTCCAATGCATGTACAAGTTTGGCTGCCCCTCCACCACTACTTTAATCCATACACTTTTATTCCTCAAGGCAGCATTCTTCATCTCTATTTTAAAGTGGATCACACAATAAAATTGGCATGTACTGGGATCGTGACATCATAACATCTGTACATGTGACCATGTGGGACTAGGCTCTAAGAAAAGCTGTCTCGGGTGTGGACCAATCAATTTCAAGGACAGTGCATACATTATCAGAGTTGTGTTTTTTTTGTTTGTATTCCGACGGCAGGTATTGTGGTCAATGCAAACATGACTCCTTGTAAAAAAAAAGGTGTCAGTTTTTTTTGCCAGTTAAAGGATAAAAAACTAATTATCATATTTTGCTACTGGCAAAGGAGCTTCCAATGGTGTGACCACTAGTTTCTGTACCTCTTGTCTCCAGGTCCATTATTGCTCTCATTTATCTCATTTTCATCTCACTAATCAATATCACTTGTCTACATCTATCTTATATCTATTGCTCCCTCATCTCACTAATCTGTATCTCTTTATGTGAACCATATCTCTTGGCGAGCCCCTCCAAAGGCCTTTGCCGGCTAAATGTGACCCATGGGCTAATCGTTTAATAACCATACTAAAAGAGAATAGGTTTACTTACTCTTAGGTTTTTCGGTAAAGTCACGTAGGTAAAGTAAAAAGTAAAAAAAAAGAAATAATAATAGAAATAAAATAATAATCATTTTATAATAATTCATTTTATTATTTTACTTCTATTATTTATATTATTAATTTTTTTACCTACGTGACTTTACCGAAAAACCTAAGAGTATGAATCCTTGCAGTCACGAAAGCTTCAAATCTAGAATAGGTTTACACCAACATTATTAAATTTGAAGGGCAATAACTTAGATGACTGCTGTGCAATCCATGTATTTTCAGCCACATATTTCATCTAACCTGCATCATGTACCCTTAACACATTTGTCTTTTGTGAATCCCTCGACACATTAGCCAATAGGTCTACGTATAGCAGCTGTGCCATACAACGCTAGTCCCACCTGGTAGGCAAATGCCTGTGGAGAATTGTCAATGATGATGGTCTTTGAGAGGTCGCGCCCAAGGATGTTGAGGTCCTTGATGTAGTTTCCTTGTACGCACACGCAGTGCTCTCTGAATAGCCGGTGCCTGCATTCAAAACGAAAAATTAATTTACAAATTCAACAAACGTTGTAAAGTCCAAGTGGCCTTCATTCCAACTGTTCGATGTGTGCTTAATCAGGTGATTAATCGTACCCACCTCACTAGTTTCTTGGCTGGATCCAAAATATTGAGCAGTTTGTCAGCGTACACTTTTTTGGATGCAGTGAAGAGAATGATCTGAGAAAAATAACATGAAATAACACAAAAAGAATAACGTGCAACCATTTCACATGGATGTTTTTCTTCATCATTCCCCAATTCCTATAGAATATTGAATGTTAAAATTAAATATCGTTCTCGTTGTTACGATATCAATAACATATGCAATTCCTAAAGTCACCACAATTCAGCTCCCGTGGCACAATAACTCACCTCAAAATGTTTTGACATCCTCTCCAAAAACTCCCGGAAGTATGGACGCAGGCGAACGTACACCTGGACGTGACAATGGCACGGCAAGTCAGCACGGATACTCGGTTCATATTACACCGAGAAAATATTGGCCGACATTCAGCCTCTCAAGTGCGTGAAATTCATCGTGACTTTGGGCAGTTCCGCTGACTGGCCAGCGATTTCTAATTAACCTCCTTATTTAATTGCGCTAGTTAGGAACAGCTGTCGGTGCATTCTTTGGTGTGGTCTGCTGTGACCGAGTTGCAAGTCCTCATGGCATAAGCAGGCACGCTGCAGTACCTGGTAGTTAACATCCTGAAAGAGAACAGGGAACGTGAGTGCTGCGTCCTCCAGATGAATGAGGCTGCAATGGACCAGGGTTTCATCCTGTAACCACACGTGCACAAACACACACTTGAGCAGCAGCAGTAGGAGTACACACAGCAGTAGGAGTACACACATCATATTGACACATCGACCGTTGAGAATGTTACGTGGGTTTGGGCAGGACACATCGCTTTAAGGGATCAGGCGAGAAACAAGCTTGTCGTGTTATTTCACGAAACGATGTCGCATGTTAATGGGGTAATCTTGCGATGCCGCATGTAACGGCGTGATCAATGTGCCATTTACAAGTTCTGGACAACCCTTTGATCTATTTGGTTGGACAACAGACTTGTTTACTAACATTTGTACTGGTTCACCTTTTACGAGAGCTATCGCAAGCCTCCCTCCCCCCACCCCTGGTTATACAGAGATGGACAGACGACAAAGCTAATGCATCAACAATTTCAAACTTAGATGGAAAGCGCTATAATCTGCTCAGCACAAGCGCACTCTGACCAGGTCGAGGACGAGCGAGTACTCTGGGGTGCTGCGCGTCTTGAGTGGGAGCGCCGGCTTTCGGGCCAGCTGCTCCTCAGTCAGCGGAGGCAGGTTCTTGATGAAGGCGTATCTGGTGAAATGACGTACACATACACGTCCGGCCGTATTCTCATCAATGCATACGTGTCAATCCGCTGCTGAATTAGATCCTCCCTCACACTTTGCAGGTCATGGGGTTTTATTTGATCATACTTCACTATGCCGGTCAGTCCTGGTTGGTGAAACAAGGGAGTATAGACAATCGAGCAGAGTATTGCACTGGACCCTGCAGACAATGTAGACCCACAGCAGCTTCATAGCTCAGTGGGCTTTATGTATGCTGGCCACCCATCAAAGTACTATGCAAGCTCAACGCCGCCTTGCTTCTGAGATTTGATGAGATCGGGTGCATAACGGGTGATTAGGTCATAGGCTAGCACCGTTGGTAGCTGGTGGGTGGGTATATATTGGTTGGTCACGGAAGATTTTTAGGGGGTGGGAAATCCAGGTAAAAGCAGCCGCCTTTGCGAAACTACTTACCGAGTGTAGAACGCTAAATACTATGCAGTTTACAATCTTTATAAGTATTGTTTCCTTTTTTTTCCACCAGCGGAGCCTGGCCACATAGGCTCTTAATGACGAGCCGCCCAAAGCCAACACACGTACAAGTCAATCAAAAGCAAAACGGTTGAGCATTTCATTTGAGCATTTTGTTTCACGTTGTGTGCTGCGTGGATGTTGGAGCACGCCACGTACGGGTCGAACACTTCCCAGTCCTCGTCGTAGCACGTCTCGGCAGGCGTGGCGGACGGCTCCGGATACGAGCTCTCGGGCGGCATCATGGCCGGCTCCTCATCTTCTGTCTCGCCGTCGTCTGCAGCCGCGCCGCACGCCAAGTCCACAACCGCGCGCGCCAACGCTGAGCAACTCCTTGCCTTGCCGACCGAAAACCTCCACGTGTAATCAAACGCTCCTCACGCCGCTGTGCCACTGATAAAACGTGCTGCCCGCAGTGTAGCGCCGGACTTCAGACTTTCTACTGGACATCTGTGAAAAAGAGCTTTATAGCTCATCGCATTCCTCCGGTATAAATACAGATTCAGATTTTTTTTTCTCTTAAAGAAAAAAAAAGTCAAATCATACCTACGCATGGATTCTGGAACACTTTCCAAAATGCGTTTGTGCTCAAAAGTATTTCATTAGCAATACAGTAGCTGTCAGCAGAATATTCTTTTATATTTGCAAATAGTTTTATCTGCTATTGTTTGTGTTTCCACATTTTGGGCAAACCATGTATTGATTTGGTCAGTTTTCCATAGGGTAATTTCCTTATAGCAACACGATTTCATACAAATAATTTGTTAATGTTTGATCGACTTAATACATGCTATCGAGCACCACTGTTACTGACAAGATGGCTGGATAAATCCAGTCGATACATCTTGCGTAAAATCCGGAGTCGTTTAGCACAAACCATTAAGATTAAACTTTTTTACATCAAAAAAGAACATTCCTGATATACACTAGACAACATTTACCCATAGGTTTTACCGTGTGTGAAGAATTGGAAAACTGGTGAGAAAATCGTCCCCAACAAGTGTGTTCTTGGTTGGGACTCGGCATCTGTGGACTCCTTTCCATTTTGTTTGATTTCATTTCCTCCGCCAACATCTGAAAATTACATCAAGCGCCATTACTACCGAAAGCTGATAAAACAAAATAAGAACATTTGGTCAAGGTTTAATTAGTATGAATGTACTGGCAGTGCCTCTCAAGGAATTGTGCCCACTCCACTGACAACTGACCTCCGTTGTGCTGGGGTTTTCTCCTCGTGACAGATGACCTGGTCGCAGAAGTGATCAAATCCTCTTGAGCATTTTTCTTGCCTCTGCCCTCTCTCTTCCATTTCGTCTTCACTTCCACCTGCAAAGAGGGAAGAGTTGAATTTTGAGGCTGGGAACCTGCCTAAACAATATGCGACACAGTATGCACATGATATTCCAGATCACCTCTCATAAGTTAGCATGTGCTTTTAAGATGTTAAAAAGACATACAAACCCTTTCTATAACCAAATTTACACTGACATGAATTGGCATAAGAGTCACCTCCTCAGCCGTGCAACATGTATGAATTGTCACAATTGAAAACAATTCAAGACGCGATAATTTTTCTTCACATCTGTCGTCTCAGCGGTAATTTCTGTCAAGTACGACTTGACGCATTTATCACAGGGATTGATTTTAACCGATTAAATCTCACACGATTTAAAGCTTTCGTGACTGCAGAGATTCATCTTCTTGGTTCTTTCGGTAAAGTCACGTAGAAGGAAAATAATAAAATAATAAAAATAAAACATACTACTTGACAGACCTGTTCTCCACCTGAGGACGGCTGCTTGCGTTGTGGCCGAAACGTCGTGAGAATTATTTTATTATGTTTTATTTTTATTATTTTCCTTCTACGTGACTTTACCGAAAGAACCAAGAAGATAAATCTCACACGCATAATGAAACTCACAATGACTTGCGTACCACGATACACGCATAAGCCAAGATGACGATTGCTGGGGGGGAGGCCTCACGCACCTTAACGGGACTTGCCCTTGCCGCTTTCCTCGTCGGTCGTGCCTGGCGACCAGCCGTTGCCCGTTTGGCCGCAGGCGAGTGTCCCAGGGAGGCAAGCTGCCCGGCGACAGCGCCGTCGCCCCTCTTCCTGGACGCGGCCGCCTGTGGGGCCGAGACTGCAACCGCTCCGGGCTTGCCATCCGACTGGCTGAGAATGCGGTTCCGGAGCCTCATCTCCAGCACTGCATGACTGCAGAGGGCAGGCGAACACGCGCCGGGTGTGAATCGCAGTGAATACGCGCCGGCTGCTAATACTTAACAAAGATGCCACCGACAGTGAACCCACACTGATGACAATAATTGAATACAAACTGACGTTAATAACGCAAAATATACACCAAAGTTATTAAGCACACATTATGAAAATAATGTATATCTGTAAGGCGCATATCATCCGTAGATCCCAACGCGCCATGTATGGAAAGCAGCAAATAAATAGAACCTGGGAAAATGGCCACAACAAGGGGGTAGAGGCCAGTTTAAAGAGGCGAGTTTTCAAGACAAGCTGAAATATATCTATCGATTCTGATTGTCTCATAAGCAAAGGCAAAACGATACAATGCTAGGTAGCTGCACTGGCAAAAGCCTTAACCGAAGATCCTCAGCGACCTCGGAGTACAAGTTCCTGTAAATATTGTGGGGCTAATATTGAAGTAAAGGGTCGGTGACATGGCCAAGCAGTATCGCGTTCAGCCACTTGCTGCACAGGTTAGCGCAGGGGTCGGCAACCAAAATAACAAGACATTTTTGTTATTCGGTAAAAAAAACTCAATATTGAAAGAGCCGCAAATGCATGTGAATACGAGTCGGTGGTGGTCCTGGCTAAATAACGTCACGAAGCCAGTCCTTGAAAGAGCCACCGCGTGCGGCTTCAGAGCCGCAGGTTAGCGACCCCTGGGTTAGCGGTTTGAATCTGGCGGATGCCCTGGTTAATACTGCGGTTGTGCATGAACCAGGACACACGCGCCGCCTGCTTCACAGTGGAAGCTAAAGCTGCAGTGACGTCATTCTGAAAGAGTAGGCCAATGTGCCTGCGGCATGGTATACATTTACAAATTAAAACAACAAAATACCAAATTACTTAATTGGGGACACAAAGCAAACGTCGCCCCCTACTGCGGAAAACTTAGCAGGAACATTAAATAAATAAATATTGGGGCTCATTGACGCTTTCCTGGGTAAACAAAAACAATAGAAGCGAACACACCGTGATGCTGCCATGTATACAACAAAAATCCTCACCGAGTATCAATATATTTTTCCAGAATAGTCATGTATTGGGATATTTGTCAGATTCCTTCTTAAAAAGTGTGTTGTTTAAAAGAGTTGTACAAGGCGAACGCCAGCAAACTATGTCCGCAAATGGGTTGAAGACCAATTTACTGCATTGCAATGCCTTCCACCGTCTGACCACATTTAAAGCCCAACAGCTATTGTGAAGTTTCGCATAAATCTCTTCGTGACCCACAAACCCATCCATCCAAGCCGCTTAATTATAAACGCGTAGCAATGTTAAGTTTAAAAAAAGGCATACTGTGACGATAAACAACACTTTTAAAACACGAGCTAGCACCAACACTGCATCCTCACACGCCGCAAACGCCGTAGCCGCGGCCACGTTCCCAGACCGAGGCCGCGTACGGCCGCCGCCTCTCCCCGCAGACCCCGGGGCTGGCGAACTATCCGAGGGCCGTCGAAGGCCCGACACATTCCCCCGGGGCCCGACGTGCGTCGGATCTGGGCTCTACACACGAGGTAATCCCTCCCCCTCCCCCACACACACCGACCCCGAGGACCACTGGGGTACACGGGGGGACAAGGAGGGAGATTGTGGGGGGACAGGGGGAGCGGCGGGGACCCCGGGGGCCGAGGCTGCAGGCCGCGGGTAATGGCGGACGCGAGTCGGGCAGTCGTCGTCCCCGTCGCGAGGCGAAGGGGACGACGACGACGGTGATGGAGCCGAGCGAACGGGGCGGCAAGGGAGAGGCGGGGTGGGAGTAGCCGTAGCAGGCGAAGGAGGTCGACTCACGCACCGTCCGCGCCGTCTAGGCCTCTCCTCCTGCCCCTCTCGCCGCCGCCGTCGTCGCCGTCGCTGCTACTGCTGCTGCTCCACTCGCCTCGGCTCGTGGTGACATGACGCAATCGCCGGGTTCGATGACGTAATTGTTTATTTTGATTCGCACGGGGGTGGGAGTGTGGGGGGGGGGGACCTCTGTGACGTCACGCGGCGCGCGCACGTGTGGTGGGGGTTGCGTAACAACAGGCAAGTCGCCCTCCAGCAACAACGGAGGGCGGAGGAGCGACGCTCACAACAACGAGCGGAGCGCCGGGTGGCTAAAGCACAGCAAGTTGGCACGGTAGGGGGCACAGGTGGTGCATCAGCCAGTCATCTCTGTCATCTCAGTCAGTCGACCCGTGGCACCTGCTGGGTCTGCCCCGTGACCTCCTGCCAGCGGGCGTTCGACACTTCACGTGGCCTCAAGGTGCACGTGGCCTGGCACAAGCGTCGTGGTGACGTCACCGCCACTTAGTGGCGAATGGCGGTTGTTGTGTAACAACAGCCTGCATCAGCAGTAGGCCATGCTTTCCCACCTGATGACGGACGCTGGTGTTGCGCCCGAAACGTCGTGATTTTATTTAGTTGTTTTCATTTATGAATCCTTGCAATCACGAATGCTTCAAATCTAGAATTAACAACAACTCGAAACACGCGCCACGTCAAGAACACCCCATGTGACCTTAAAAGTACATTGTGTGTGTGTGTGTAATAGACGACGTTTCGGGCAATGAACTTCTTTCACACCGTACGTAGCCAACCGTGCTAATCGAAGGTGCGGGGGAAGGACACAGTAAAATTTAAAAAGGGTGTTAAATGTTGACTTAAAGCTTTCGTGACTTACAAGAATTCATATTCTTGGGTCTTTCGGTAAAGTCACGGAGATAGGTTAAAATAAAATAACCCATCTACGTGATTTTACCGAAACACCCAAGACTATAAAAGTGTAAATCTTGACTTAAAGCTTTCGTGACTGCAATAATTCATATTCTTTGGGTATTTCGGTAAAGCCACGTAGACAGAAAAAATAAAAGTGTGTTGTTTGGAAAAATGGAAGGAACCGGAAAGAGAGGAAGACCGAACAACGACGACTTAAGAGATTGGTGCGAGAAAGACGTGGCCATTATTTGAGCATATTGGCACAAGATAGAGGAAAGTGGAAACAAATGACGAAATGTGAACTGGACAACCATGGGGCTATCTGCCCACAAGGATCGTGATGATGATGTCTCCCGTTCCAACCTGGATCTCAAGAACATCCCTTACTGCCGTGTGGAGTAGTGCAAGCCCTTTTCAACCCAAGCGCTTAACCTTTAACGATGCAACTTCAATGCTCATGATAAAGCTTGGAAAACCAAATGGAGTTGACAAGAAGTCACGAACTAACATCTTGTGAAAGACCCCACGCAGAAGCTCCCTGCCGTCGATCTTCCACGAAGCTTCTGGACCACGACAACCTTGAACCGCATCCACGCAAACCACGGCAGCAGCAGATGCCGATACTTGATGCACAAATGGGAAATAAATAAAATATCCATTTTGTCGCTGTGGCTGTGGTCACCAAGAATAGAGCCCAATTCACAAATATGAATGAGGCAACATCTCAGCGATACGCTCCGCTACTCCCAACGTGATTATCTGGCTCAACCACCTCAAGATAATATTACAGTTGTTTCTCTCCATGAACATCGGCCATACGAAGAAGATATCACATAAAGCGCAGTGTTGCATGTATGGCATGGGACGTGCTGTGGCCTCATTGTAGGACACATTCAGCTAACGAAGCTGAGACAACACAGGGCCCCGTCACTTGGGACACAACGCACTCACTGGGAAGTAACCTCCTTCCCAAATTACTACGAATCCTCGTCTTCTGATCGGTCTCCATGCTCCATCCTCCTCAACAGGTCCCCGAAGACTAACCTTCCCTCTACTCAGAACCCCTGCTGGTGCGAGTGACCATTTCCCTGCAAACCTTGGCTCATGCGACCAATAGCAGTGTAACAAAATTGTTTTTTTGTTCCTGGGTAGTAAGTGTTATATCCTAATTGCTTATGCCTCAAAAGTACAGAAAAAGGCTATTATTCCCCACAAACTTTGCTTTTGTGACCAGGACAGTGATATTTTTAAATGTACCTATTTTAAATGAAAAAACGGGCAAATTTGTGTCTTTTCGTTTACATAAAGTCAGAAAAAAACAACATGAATCAAAATGTACATGTATTTATACTAAAGTAATACAAAAATGACGACTCAAAATCTGGCAGAAATCTCCATCTCCTGCACCCACCCAAGCCTCATGTACGTATGTCGAACTTTTTTCGCACCGTACATAGTTGACCATGCTACTCGGAGGTGCGCCGGTTGACCCAGCCGGCCCATCATCACCTCGGGTCAATAAACATCTTCATCGAGAAGGGGTGGACCTGGAGATTCGCAGCTGGGAGCTCCATGCAACCTTTCTAATCGAGATGATTTGAGATGCACATCAGAGCAGATATCCAACAAGTAAACAACAACAACGTGAGGATCCACTGCAGGGCTGTGAGAGACTCTGAACACTGTGAAACACCCGTGAGCAATCCGTGAGACTTGACACGATCTGTAGGTTGGGGGCCTCCATTGGGGCCGGCATTGCGACTAGGCCTCAGCAAGGTAAGGTAATTTACCCTTTTTACCGGGTAAAAGGATAAAGGTGTCGACATGCCAAGGTAAAGGGTAGGATAAAGGTAGCTCGGAAGTATTACCCGGTAGGGTAAAGGTAGCGCGAAGTATTACCCGGTAAACACGGTACCTTGTTTACCGCTAAAAGCTCCGTGGCGCAGTCCGTGGCTTCCATTTAATAAGTAATATTTAAAAATTTAACCCGTAAAAACTCAATTTTTCACTATAAATCCTTTATATGCGTGGCGGCTAGAGTCCTCTCGTCCTCTGGCTTGAGATGGCTGCCACCTATGGGTTAGATGATTGTCTGCCAGCATTAAGCAATTGGTAATTAAATATTTTTAAAAAATTCCCTAAACAGTGTAAAATTTTGGAGAAAAAAAATTCACGAAAATTAATTGTCACGCACAACGAGTCTGTGTGGAAAATGTCAGCTCGATTGGATCACGGGAAGTGGGTTGAAAAACGACCGAAAGATTTGCACGGTCCTAAGCAAGCAAGCAAGCATGCAAGCACGCAAGCACGGAAGTAAGCAAGCGAACTTAATATAAAGGATTTAAAAATAACTTTTTTTAAACACGCTTTTATTAAATGTACTAGTAATGGCAGAACTCCACGACTCCAGAAAGTGGCCCCGAAGCTTGCCATAACGTAAGGGCACCGTGGCCAATTACAGCCAACGTCAGTTGAGCGTGGACAATTAGACCCAAGCCGAAACATAACATGTAAAAAAAATGTTTAAAATATTTTTATTTATTTTTTATGATACAATATAGTATTGTCATCAGTATGACATAAGTATACCAAGTTATCAGTCGATACCACATTGGAAAGTGGGTTAAAATTGAGTTACAAGATTTGAGGATACAACAACGACAACAACGACAAGTGTGTAAAATTGTAATCATCAAGAGTATTCTATATGAGTAAAGCGCTCTACCTATAGCATTTACCATTATAAAACTTTATCATGTGTAGTAGTACCCCAGTAATTACCCTGTAATCTGGTAATTTGTATGGGATAAGGTAAAACGTAGGGTAAAGGTAGGCTCGTTGCTTTTACCTTACCATGCCGAGGCCTAATTGCGACTGAATCGTGCATCACATTCCGGGGCCACAGTGTAACTCAGCTTCTGGGGCCACAGTGTAACTCAGCTTCCGGGGCCGCAGTGTAACTCAGCTTCTGGGGCCGCAGTGTAACTCAGCTTCTGGGGCCGCAGTGTAACTCAGCTTCTGGGGCCGCAGTGTAACTCAGCTTCCGGTAACTCAGCTTCTGGGGCCGCGGTGACACTCAACTTCCGGTAATTCAGCTTCTGGGGCCGCGGTGACACTCAGCTTCCGGTAATTCAGCTTCTGGGGCCGCGGTGACACTCAACTTCCGGTAATTCAGCTTCTGGGGCCGCGGTGACACTCAGCTTCCGGTAATTCAGCTTCTGGGGCCGCGGTGACACTCAACTTCCGGTAATTCAGCTTCCGGGGCCGCGGTCATGGCGACTCAGCAGCAGCAGCAGGCGGAGGTGGACGCGCTGTTCGACGTGAAGAACGCCTACTACATCGGCTCCTACCAGCAGTGCATCACCGAGGCGCAGAAGATCAAGGTGTGGTGGACAAGCCCCTTCAGTGGCCATAGAATCTCCCTCGGCCCCTCCTCCTCCCCGCTCGGGACGCGGCGTTACCCCGGGGGGTTCGCGTCCACGTCAGCGGGATGAGGCCTACCTGCCGCCGTGGCCCCGACCCGGGAATGTGGAGTTTCCACGAGTGGCGGTGGAGATTGGCGTCTTGTTTTTGGGCGTGGGGAGCTTGGCGCAGAAAGGATGTTGGACTCTGGGCAAGGCGATTGACTGCACGGCTGTCGACCCACTCGCTTTGACACGGATTCTTGTACAGGGATGTTGAGTTTATTTTGGTGATTTCGAAAAGTGTATTGGTTTGGCCATGTTTGTGTTGTTGTAGTACAGAGTTAGACTGACGGCCTTAATCTAAGTTGTCTTGTGGTTGTTGTTGTTGTTTGTTGTAGTACAGAGTTAGACTGATGGCCTTAATCTAAGTTGTCTTGTGGTTGTTGTTGTTGTTTGACTTGCATCCCACTGGGATTTTTGCACAGCGTTGATGTACGGTGTTTTTTTCTGCAATATTTTGCTGTCTTTTCTTGGATTTTCTGTTTGCACCTTAGTCACATAGTCACTTTAAGATGTTTTCTTGTTCATGTTTTTGTTTTTTGTTTGTTGCGGTAGCACCCGATTCAAGAGCCGAATGGCTCACAGGGCTACACCTAATCAATGAACTTGAACTTGAGTTTTCAGGTCCATACGACGTACAGACGTTTCAATACGGGCACATATTTGCGTCTATTTTGTCTTTGTGTTTCTACCCTTGTGATGGGGCTTTGTAGGGTGAACGTTGAGATTTATAAAGGCACGGGGTGATCACTAAGGTCTGAATTGGTCTGTGATAAGGTTGGCACTGATAAGGGGTTGACAGGTGTGTAGTAGTGGAGTGTGTATAGTGTAGTGTATTGTGTAGTGTATAGTAGTGTATTGTGTAGTGTATAGTAGTGTATAGTGTAGTGTATAGTGTAGTGTATAGTAGTGTATAGTATAGTGTAGTGTATAGTGTAGTGTATAGTGTAGTGTATAGTAGTGTATAGTAGTGTATAGTAGTGTATTGTGTAGTGTATTGTGTAGTGTATAGTAGTGTATTGTGTAGTGTATAGTAGTGTATAGTAGTGTATAGTGTATAGTGTAGTGTATAGTGTAGTGTATAGTGTAGTGTATTGTAGTGTATAGTGTGGTGTATAGGATGAATGTTGAGATTTATAAGGTGCACGGGGTGACCACTAAGGTCTGAATTGGTCTGTAATAAGGGCGCTGATAAGGGGTTGACAGGTGTGTGACTTTGAGTGGCAGCCAACGATTAGAATGCGTCCAAGAGGATTGTCAGCCGGGGAGATGGAGCGATGGAATCGGCTTGCGTGCAGGTTGTCTGTGGATTGTTGCATGGCACGATCGTGAGAGATGTCGATGGCTGGGTGAGGCCTTCACCCGGCAGTGAATTGATTGGTCGTGGCTGATGATTGAGATAAGGCGACTGAACCATCCTAAGAATGATGTGTCAAGGTACAGACTTATACTCTTAGGTTTTTTCGGTAATAAATGAAATAAAATCCATTAATAGTTTTTTTTTCATTCATTATTCTTTTATATTTATTATATATTTTTTACCTACGTGACTTTACCGAAAAAACCTAAGAGTGAATACTTGCAGTCACGAAGGCTTCAAATCTAGAATTAAGGTACAGACTGTAGGCTACTCACCTGCGATCTATGGTAATGCTACTGCGTGCCAACACAGACGAATCATCAACAGCATCGTAATAATCGTAATGTTGAATTTCGTTCGCACCGTACGTATCCAGCAGACTACAGATCTTCTATGATATTAACTACTCTGATATAAAATATACACACGACTGACCTGTGCTGTAATATAGAATGATGTTACATGGTTACTGGATAGACGACTTGGCTATACGTACTTAGCCCCGACACTCCAGGTAAATCATTAAGGGGCCGTCCATAAATGACGTTACGCGATTTTGGACGATTTTTGACCCCCCCCCCCTCGTTACACGGCGTCACAAATGTCTGACCCCCCCCCAGGTGCGTGACGTCATTTATGGACGGCCCCGAACTTACTGATCCGTTATAGACCTGTGCTACATACTACTGGGATTGACATCGCTGAGATGTTAGAAAATGACTGATCTATGTAGACTTCTGTGCTCATATATTACTAATATTTACTGAATATGTTAGTCTTTTGAGCTCTATTAACTGCTAAAAACCATTGGGCTATCTGACCACAATGACTCAATCTACTGAGCTCTGATATAGATTACCGAGCTGTGATGCATATTGATGCACCCTGATATGCAAGTAGAGTACTCTGATGTGCTTCATAATTTACCCAGGGAAGTGTCACTGAATCACGAGACTCTAAGGAGGTCTCTGCCAAGTCTTCGCCATTGGGGGGCGATGTTGCGGTGTATAATCCCAATCGATTAATTTGCAGGTCATCATATGTCAAATCTAGAATTGCAGGTCATCATTCAGTCTTGGGATGTTTGGCCAACACCATTTTACGTTGTTGTTTTTTATTTGAGCTATGGGAGGAAACCATTGAAACCCTTGCAGAGGGGAGGGGGGAGCGGAGGGGGGAGTGGAGGGGGAGCAAACTCCTCCAGAAAGGTGCCGAGTCAGGAATCGAACCCACGTCCTTTCGGCTATGCGGCACATATGTTATCAAAGCACCACCCTACCGCTAACCATGAAGCTGTTAGGCTACCAATCCCTGCGAGTGACGCCTGTGCTCTGCATGCATGTTGAACTTATTTCGCACTGTACGTAGCCAACCGTGCTAATCGGAGGTGCGGGGGATGGACAACTCCCGAGCGATGATGGAGACGACCGACATTGGTTATCGACCTGCGATATTGACAGTAGCTGGCTGGAAGTGCTGCTTGCTCAACATGCTCAGTAGAGAGGCTCAGCAGAGACGGACTGCTCACACGAAGCTGACTCTTGGACTGGATCCTCCTGTCTGTGCTTTTCAGCCATCTGGCCAGGAGAAGACTGTGGAGAGAGATGTCTTCTTGTACCGAGCCTACATTGCACAGGTACGAGGAATACTGAAAATACTCGTTTTGGCATTGCGACGATTTGAAATCTAAATAGGATTGATATTATAATAATAGGGTTTTTCCCCTTTTTTTTCTGGCAACAAAACTGAAACCTTTTTTACGAGGATTCATGTCTGCGTTAACCACAATACTTGCAGTCGAAATGCAAACAAAAACACACTGATAATATATCTACTGAATGAGCAATTAAATAGTAGTTTACCACTGATATATAATTGCCAACAATGCCCACTACTGTGTGGAAACGAGTCAAATGCTGTTCATACGATATTGAATTTAAATTTAGTATTGTTTTTTCCTACGCCCACTTCCACACAAGAGAGACAAGACTCTTGGAATATATTTACAAACAGACGTGCATCGCCACCTCGACGCGGTTGTTGTTGAAGGCGCTTGCGCTTGTGTGTGTTTTACGCTCGCAGCGCAAGTACGGCGTGGTGATGGATGAGATCTCGGGCAGCTCCCCGCCGGAGCTGCAGGCGGTGCGCATGTACGCCAGCTACCTGGCCCACGACGACAAGAGGTGGGGGCGGCGGCGGCGGCGGCGGTGCCGACAGCTCTGGGTGCTGGTCGTTGGCAGCAACGCGTCGTACACCGTAGCACAGGATTGATAGAAGTTTAACACGTAGGCTTTCGCGACCAATATTATTCATAATCAACGTTTTTGGGGTTAGATCGCATTATTTATAAATGTGTCGTAACCCTCCACCACCCGACACGGCCAATCAGTAAAAAAGTTATTTTCTTTTTTTATTCTTCATTTTCTATCTACGTGACTTTACCGAAAAAAAACCTAAAGAATATGAATTCTTGCAGTCACGAAAGTTAAGTCAAAATTTAAGACCGATAGGTTTATGCTTTATCAATATCGATTTCTACATATCGTTATTTATGTGTGCAGTGTTTTTGTCGTAAATAATTTTGATAGGATTATCAATTTCGTTTACGATAGCCAGATCACCCATAATCTGAGAAGCAGAGCAGTGACGAGCCTGGACAGTGCTTGGATGGATGACCACAGTGCAGGAGAAGGCAGTGCAGACAATGCCATTGTGTTACTCGGACACTCGGTAAAGTCACGTAGGTAAAAAAAGAAATGAAATTAAATCACGACGTTTCGGAGGCAACACAAGCTTCCGTCTTCAGCTGGAACCGTCACAGCAAAATCACTGTTTCAAGGGTACTCGTACAGTCTGCTGCTGGATAATAGCCTCCCCACGTCATGCAGCTAGGGGGGATGATACATCGCCACGACACGCGACCTACCAATCGACTGTTCAGTACTGCCGGGTGGGCAGAGGTGTGGGGGTTGGAGTATTGTATCATACAACGATCGATTTTGCTGCACCGCTCTACTCATGTTGTGCCACAGTTAAGCCAATAGGTGCACATTTTTTTTACTATTTTTGCGAACTAAGGATTGACATTTCTACCAAGTGCCATCCTCACGACTTGGGGTTACCTCTTCTTGGTTCTTTCGGTAAAGTCACATAGAAGGGAAGTAATAAAATAATAAAAATAAAACATAATAAAATAATTCTCATGACGTTTCGGCTACAACGCAAGCAGCCGTCTTCAGGTGCTGCTTGCGTTGTAGCCGAAACGTCTTGAGAATTACAACGCAAGCAGCCGTCTTCAGGTGCTGCTTGCGTTGTAGCCGAAACGTCGTGAGAATGATTTATTATGTTTTATTTTTATTATTTTATTACTTCCCTTCTACGTGACTTTACCGAAAGAACCAAGAAGATGAATCCCTGCAGTCACGAAAGCTTTAAATCGAAATTTGGGGTTACCTCTTCCGGTTGCTTTCCTTCATTGTCACTCGTGGAGATTGCCCGGTGTTTTGCGTCTGCCTAACTCGACCGCGCCCCGCAGGGATGCGGTCCTGAGCGAGCTGGAGCGTAAGATGGCAGGCAGCGTGGACGTGAGCAACGCCAACTTCCTGCTCATGGCGGCTTCCGTCTACATCCACGAGGGAAACACCGACGCCGCGTTGCGCACTCTGCACCAGTCCGACAAGCTCGAGTGGTGGGGATGCGATCGAGATGATTAGATGTCACTTTTTTATTAAGTTGTATTAACGCTTTCCAACCAAGGCTGGAAGTAATAATGCGTGAGGTCCGTGTGTGTATGGGGGGCAGTAGTGTAGCAGTTAGCTCGCTGCGCTACGAACCCATCAACCTGATTTCGATTCCCACTCATCGGTCCTGGGCCTCCCCTAGGTCGACTCGGCCTCAAATGAGTACCTGGTGTGGTGTGTAAACATTGCCACTTGGGATACAAAGGCAGCCAGGTGTGGTGCTGACCACTCTTCCCCTCGTGTGCTGTCGGCCTTCATAGGTGCTCGCTAACTAACAGCACTTGCCCCAACAGCCTGTTAAGGTTATACTGTGGGTCTTTGTATGGGGGAGCATGATAATGCTTGTGAAGATAATTCAACGTTAATGAAAAGTGATGCGTAAAACTTGAAGACAAGTTTAGAGCACAAAGGACTTTGTAAATACACAAACACATTTTGCCCTAACAGCTACTCGTATGCATACGCATTATTTAATGCTTTCCATTAAATAATGCATACGCATGACTTTTCTGATCCTAGACCACCAACTCGCGTCACCCGAGAGCCCAGTTTCACCATACGTAGTTGCCCGGATTCGAACGCAGAATCCCAGCGGTGACAGCTTTGTGCCCTGACACAGAATCATCGTCATCATGCCTCTGTGCCACCTGTCCCTTCGTCAACAAGCCATCTCCTGACCTTCAGCCACATCGGCAGCCTGCTTACGAATCTGAATAAGATTATTTGTTAAAATACTGCACGTAATAACGCAAACACGTCATTAACAAACGGAAACACAAAATAATGCTTTTGAAGAATGTGTTGGCTGTGCTTGCCAGGGATTGTGCTGTTACTGAAAGACAAACTGTTTATCTCCGTAGCTTGGCAATGATGACCCAGGTGTACCTCATGCTCGACAGAGTGGACCTGGCAAGGTAACGCCTTTTCGCTTAACATTTGTACACGTTTTTGTTTCACGTCTCGGTTGTGGTTACAAAATTAAATTGCACACACACAATAAAATATAAATATATAATTGTGCTGTTATGATCCTCATGCATTTTCAGTTACTTTAAAACTGTTATATTGATATATTACTTTAATTTATATATATATGCACACACAATTTTAAACATAATTACATTTTGACTGTCATTCAGTTCTGGTCATGTACAACTCCTTTGTAATCCACTGCTGCATGCCACGTGGGTCATGAAGATTATTTGACCATACTTCACCACAATGTTCTATCTTCTTGGTTCTTTCGGTAAAGTCACATAGAAGGGAAGTAATAAAATAATAAAAATAAAACATAATAAAATTATTCTCACGTTTCGGCCACAACGCAAGTAGCCGTCCTCAGGTGAAAACCAGGTCTGTCGAGGTGACAGCGTCATACGTGACTTTACCGAAAGAACCAAGAAGATGAATCCCTGCAGTCACGAAAGCTTTAAATCGAAACGTTCTTCTAATGTATGCGCGTGTAAATGCGTATGCTAACATGTGTGTGTGTGTGTGCTCGCTCCAATGTGCGCGTAGGAAGGAGCTGAAGAAGATGCAGGAGATGGATGAGGACACCACTCTTACCCAGCTGGCGCAGGCCTGGGTGCACCTGGCCATGGCAAGCCACCACCATCACCACAACCACCTCCACCACACAGACCTGGCAGTGGCTGTGGCACACCATCCCATGCCCTCGCCTCTTAACCCCCATCACGAGCGTTGATGCGGCGTGTGTGGCAACTAGCGATGGTGCATTGGTCAGCGCACTGCGCTAGGAACCCGGCGATCCGAGTTTGATTCCCGCCAACATCAGTGACAGATATCTGAACCGGTCTTGGGCCTTCCCGAGGCCAACTGAGCCTTTAATGAGTACCTCATGCGGTGTGTAAACATCAGAACCGGAGAGACAAAGGCAGCCAGGCGCGGTGCTGCCCATACTACCCACTAGTGTACAGCACCGGGCCTTACGAGATGCTCGCTAACAGCTCTTGCTCTTAACAGTCTGTTAGAGACGATACGAAGGATCTTTGTTTTGTGTGGCAGGGAGGGGAGAAACTGCAGGACGCGTACTACATTTTCCAGGAGCTCGCCGACAAGTACAGCTCTACCCCACTGCTGCTGTGCGGGCAGGCGTCCGCCATGATGGCGCAGGGCAAGTGGCAAGATGCGGAGGGCACGCTGCAGGAGGCACTGGAGAAGGTCAGAGTCAGAACATTTAGTTATACTGGAGGAATCCGATGAGCTCTAAAAACTATTTTTAAATCCCTTTATATTAAGTTCGCTTGCTTGCTTAGGACCTGTGCAAATCTTTCGGTCGTTTTTTAACCCACTTCCCGTGATCCAATCGAGCTGACATTTTGCACACAGACTCGTTGTGCGTGACAATTAATGTTCGTGCAAATTTTTTTCCAAAATGTTACACTTTTTAGGACAAAAATATATTTAATTACCAATTGCTTAATGGTGCAATGCAATCATCTGATCCATAGGTGGCAGCCATCTCAAGCCAGAGGACGAGAGGACTCTAGCCGCCACGCATATAAAGGATTTATAGTGAAAAACTGTTTTACGGGTTATATTATTCACAGATGTCTAGTAGGGGCGGGTCAGAACGTTAGGCGCTAACCACACGGTGCACAGATGGTATACACGCGGCACAACCCGGGCTGGTGTGTGCCAAGTGAAAATGCGAGTGGAAATTTGGGTTTGCCACCTCTCCCCAGTTTTTCAAGAATGTCCCCTTTTTACACGCTTTTATTTAACTCACTTCGTCTGCTTGTATCCTCATAAAAGAAATCTTGTAACTAAATTTTTACACACTTCCCAATGTGATATCGACTGCAAACTTCGTATAGCTATGTCATACTGATGACAAGATGATACTCTATCATAAAAAAATCCAAAACATCTATTTTAAAACTTTTTACATGCTTTTATTTAACTTACTGCATGTGTTGTATCCAAAAATCTTGTAACTCAATTTCAACCGTAATCCCAATGTCGTATCGACTGCAAACTTGGTATAGCTATGTCATACTGATGACAATACTATATTCTATCATTGAAAATAAAAAATATATTTTTAAACGATCTTTTTATGGCTCTAATTGTCCACGCTCAACTGACGTTGCCTGTAAATCACCGCGGTCCCTTACGTCACGGCAAGCCTCGGGGAGCCATGCTCAGGGGCGGGGGATGTGGAAGGAGGGGAGGGGCGATGGGGGAAGGGGGCAGGGAGAGGGGCAGCTCAGACAGTACATTTCATGAAAGCGTGTTTAAAAAAAAAGTATTTTTCAATATTTTATTTTAAGGTAGCAGTCCGGGGCAATCTCCACGTCCTCTTCCGGGGACATTTAAGGGTCTCCATATTTTTTCGGTCGCGTAATAACAGACGACCCAAGACAACGCATTGACGTACATGTAGCACCTCTTCCAGTATTGTGAGATGTTCTTATACACACAGGTGGAAACCCTCGTGGGAATTGCGATCAATAGTTCAGTTGACTCAATTGTACAGGGTGGGCCCGATAAACACAAACAAACATGGACAATTCAAAACATTGTATTGGGTCTATAGAAACATTGTTTGCTTAACCTAGAACGGGGGCGGAGATCTACAATGTGCCATCTGTTTTTATTGTTTTTTTTTACACTCAACTGTTGACGTAAACAAATTGTATTTCGATTTAAAGCTTCCGTGACTGCAGGGATTCATCTTCTTGGTTCTTTCGGTGAAGTCACGTAGAAGGGAAATAATAAGTTAATAAAAATAAAACATAACATTAAATATAAAACATAACATTGTTATACAATGTGTCTTCTTGATTCTTTCGGTAAAGTCACGTAAAAGGGAAATAATAAAATAATAAAAATGAACCATAAAAGAATTCTTACGTTTCGGTCACAACGCAAGCAGCCGTCCTCAGGTGAAGAACAGGGCTGTCAAGGTGCCCCTTCCCCCCCTCCAACCCAGCTTAAATATACGCTGCCAAGCCTGGTGGTGCCCATTCAGACGCTGTCTTTCCGACAGACCTGTTCTTCACCTGAGGACGGCTGCTTGCGTTGTGGCCGAAACGTCGTGAGAATTATTTTATTGTTTTATTTTTATTATTTTATTATTTCCCTTCTACGTGACTTTACCGAAAGAACCAAGAAGACAAATTGTATTGTTTTTTTCAACAGGACAGCAGCAACCCTGAGACCCTCATCAACCTGACTGTGCTGACTCAGCACCTGGGCAAGGCTCCAGAGGTGGGTTGGCATTGCCTCACCCTCCGCAACATTCCGTTCTCATCGTCAGCCACAGTCATTACACACCCCATTCTCAATTACATCATCTCTTTGTTTTGTGCCAAGTGGATTAAATGTGTTTTTTTATTTGGTCCCAGGTGGCAAACCGTTATCTTTCCCAGCTGAAAGATGCACACAAAGGACATCCCTTCGTCAAGGAATATTTAGCAAAGGTTAGTGAAACTGAGCAATGATTGCCGTTTGGCAAGCAATTCAAGTATTGAATAAAATAAAAACCTCTGCTGTTATAGATGCCTACCTATGCCTTGTGTTCTGGGCTGCCCGACATGAATGCATGCTCTTAATGATGCCGCTGTCGTGAAATTGGCACTGAAAGCTAACGGCGATCGCGTTGCCACGGCATCACTGGAGTGCTATGGCAGGTACGCGTAAGTCACCTTAAAAGTTTTTTTAACTTCATTAACAAAGCATTAAACTTGTGCTGAAAAACACGAGGGCGTTACAGCCTTGGTACATAACAGGTAAAGCTGCAGCAGCTCCGCAATTACTCCACCACGCCACTGCTGGCAGAAGGGACTGCTTCAGACGAAGCTCTCTAGCCCCTCTGTTTGGCCTCCTTTCTCATGCTGGCAGGGCATCTTGGCAGAGGTGCGAGTTCCCTACGCGTTACCCCACGACACGCCAAACGACTAACCGCGGTGGACCTATTCAGTGCTGCCGGGTGGACAGAGGCGTGGGGGTTTAACCTTTCCCGTTGATTTCGACGGGCAGGTCGAACCGGTGACCTCTGTCTGGATTACAAGTCGCCAGTGTGTGAGCCGTGACAGCATGGCAGCACCAAGAGGTATTTGTTGTTTGGGTATTCTCTCACTTATGCGGCTTCGTCTTTTGTTGTCGACAGGAGAACGAATTTGACCGTCTGGTGAAGCAGTACGCGCCGAGCGCATGAGGAGGAGGACTGCCGCGGTCCACTGCAGGTGGCGTCATCAGCTTCACGAGGAACCGTGGCGGATTTGCCGAGTGCATAAAATATTACAAGAAAAGCAGTTACCGCTGTGCAGGGTGCGCGTCAAATCGTACAAGGCGACGTCACGCTCGGCAGGTGTGGCGGCGGACCAATGTTCCTGTGCATAGTTAAATAAAATGTTTATACCGGCCAGCCCACCCCGCTTTGCTTTGGGTTCGTTATTTCTCATCGAAGCGCGAGTCGATTTGGACGTCTTGAATTTATATTGTGGTTTGTAAACCGGAGAGAATGCTCAGTCTGCTCCAATCGGCCGCTCGCTGAAACAAAACACAAAACCACAAACGTGGATATTCCTTGGGTACGGCAACAGATGGAAGGTGATGCGCACAGGGTGGCGATTGTACTCGAAGAAAACGGTTCCGTACTCTTCAGCCAGTGGGCGAACTTAGCCACATGCAGACTAGTCAAGATTCAATACAATAGATCTTTACACACAAACTTGTGTACGCAAGTGGACTGAAAACTAAATAACTTGACTAAATCGCCCTGAATGTGCCTCAGATCTCAACAGCCCGGTTAGTACTCGAATGGGTGACCACCAAGCTGCTTGGCAAGTGTTGGTTGGATGCATGGGGATGGAGATTGTTGCCCGGGGGTTGTCTGGGGAGTTCAGTCTCTGACCACGTGACGAAGGTTATTGGAATTGGCCAACATCCAAATGCGTGCAATATTCCTGAAAAGGACACGAAACAAATGGAGGTATATCTAGGTAAAATAAATCGCTCTTAAAACATGCGTGTCCAAGTAATGTTCACTTACTACATTTCTGATAAAAAAAAAACAATTTGACAAAAATTACCCGGGCTGATTTCCAGTTGACATCGAAGCCACAATTTTTTACCTTCCAATGTGGGAGTCAAGCACTCTCACCACACCCCCCCCTCCCTGCATGTCACGAAAGAGACACACCTGGACCCAGGTGCCCAGCAATAGCGGGGCAGTAGCCACCCTGGCGACAAGTGGTCCTGCAGTAAACTTCTACCAGCTGCTGCAGACGTTTCCCCTTGTTGGTGCAGCGCGTGCCGATATGCTGTGGCTCGTAGTGTCGGCATAGCGCAGGGCTCGGCAACCTGCGCCTCTTAAGGGCTGCTTTTTGACGTCATTAACGACCACCGTTCCGTATTCACATGCAGTGTGAATTCAAAAGAAATGCTCTTGTTATTTTGGTTGCCCGAGCCCTGGAATAGAGAGGATCGCCGTTCTAATGCAGTATGTCCTCAAGGTGTGTGTTGTGGAGGCAGGGTGGTTGTGCGGATCGTGCAGATTTCTTCATGGGTACAGGTGCCGCCCATGTTGGGAGATGATACGGAGTTGAGTATTTATTGCCACCTTTTCCACAGACATTCCTCAGTAAGCCTCTGTCTTGGTTCTTTCGGTAAAGTCACGTAGAAGGGAATAATTAGAATAAATTATTCTCGCGACGTTTCAGCCACAACGCAAGCAGCCGTCCTCAGGTGAAGAACAGGTCTATCAAGGCACCCCTTCCCCCCCTCCAACCCAGCTTAAATATACGCTGCCAAGCCTGGTGGTTGCCCATTCAGACGCTGTCTCCCCGACAGACCTGTTCTTCACCTGAGGACGGCTGCTTGCGTTGTGGCCGAAACGTCGTGAGAATGATTTTATTTATTATTTTATTATTTCCCTTCTACGTGACTTTACCGAAAGAACCAAAAAGATGAATCCCTGCAGTCACGAAAGCTTTAAATAGAAATTTAAGCCTCCGTCTATCAAAACTGTGCAGTAGCCTTTTTATAATGAAGTTAAACACGATGCCATGGAATCTCAGTACAAGTCGGTCCCTGCCACCCAAACAAAGATGCCAAAGCCGGACAGGTGGCAACCTTGGTTTGGGGGGGGGACAGATTCGTGCTTCTTAAAAACAATGATGAAGAACGTGATATTATGATGCATGACAGATGAGGATGATAGCAATGATCAGTTTATGGTGATGAAAATTACAAATGAAGATAAATCAAGAAATGTCAAACCTTAAAAAGAGATACGTAAACTTTTATTGTTTTTACTTTGTCTAGAACTGGTGGAACTAAGCCATCGACATTAAATTAGACATTGCTTGACCATACACAAATCTACATTAAGGTTCACTCAACTTAATTACCGGTGTCTTACCAGGCCCATACCAACAACTCTCACTCGTCCCATAAAAAGATTGCATTTACAATCAAACCAGATATATATATTAAAAAATAAAATAAGTTCTGTGTTGTCCCTATCAGCATATCCACAGGCATGGACTTGCTGAAGGACAGCGATAGCAATCGTCCGTAGTCACCGCACATGGGCAGTGTTCACATACCGGCGCAGCAGTTGAAACATTTGGCGAGTTTCTAAAATCCCCCTCCGCCCGCCTCTATCCTCGGAGAAGTACAAACGCGTGCACCAGTGAATCGGCAGATCACGTCTGATGGGGGTAAAGTGTGGGCACTGCTGCATCTCTCAAGGTGTTAGGCAGTGTGGAAGAGCCCAAAATAATCCTCTAAAGGGGCCCTCTAGAGCTCCCTCTCATGGATGCCCAACAGCGTGAGCAAGCCATTACAGGGCTGCCCCTGTACCCTTTCAAATATCTTGTCATCCCAGTACACAGCTTATCGAATTACTCGGATTTAAACATTTAAAAAAATACCGTATACAAGTAAAATTGATAATGCTGTAATTGTCACCGAATCTTTCCACTGACTGGCCTTGCAGAATGTATGGGTACATTTCATGCTTATTCGGGCTCATCAGTAAGGCAAACATTTGGTCACGCGAATCATGGCTTGAGGTGTGGGAAAAACAATGTGATGGAATAAGGTGCAGCGGTGTACAACCTAAAAAATAAATAGTCCAGCGCATATCCCCCACAAGTGGAGAGCATTTCCATGCCAAGCAGGCCGGATTTACCGACGAGCACCTGCGACCACATCCTGGCACTGACAACGTTAATCGAGAACAGCTTCCAGAAACACCTGCGGACAGCAGCAGTACTTCTAGACCAGACTGCCGACTGCTGCCTGCCCACGACACGGCCTGACACGGTGGTCGTCTGGTCAAAACGCCCCGAGTCTTACCAAAGCGGGCAGCCGACACCAACGAACTGCAGCTTCTTAGACGCACGGTTCAGGGTGCACGTCGTGGGGGACGGCAAGCCAACGGCCTACCACAGGGCTCCGTGCTCGCGCTGCCTCTGTGAGACCTCTACGCAGGTAACGGTTCGCCACCCACCCACGCCAAAGACGTCTGTCGCGGCACACGGACGCGCGCATTCTCAAGACTTGGAAACGTCCCCAATGCCGGCATCGCCAAACCGGCCAAATAATGCAACAGCTGGCGCCTGCAGCCAAGTCCGGGCCTTGTTCATCTACAAAACGGGCACCTGCTCTGCGGGTTTCCCTGCCGTCAGGAACGCGTGCGGCCGACCACCACGCGCCGGTGGTGGGGGGCCACGTGACCACAACCCGCTCGGTGGTCACGGTCGTCGCGTGTCATCCACGAGTGGCCCCTGCCCCGGACTTGCCGCCGCTCCACGCCGCCGACGGAGCGGCCGTCTCGCCTCGGCAAGACGCGCGTGCAATAAGAATAATGAAATATATAAAAAAATAAAAAACACTTAATTTATTTTTATTTAAAAGAGAATTGTTTTTTCGTTGAAAAACTGTTACAATAAGCGTCCGTCGTGCGTTGTAATCTCAGCGCATACAGGACAGTGTCTTTTAGGAAGTGAAGGACGTGTCTCCCGCGTTTCTGCAGCCATTCCCAGCATTTTAGGGACCTAATTAAAATTCACGACTTCCGTGACCTCCGTAATAAAATCATAGCCTTACTCATCAGCATGTCGAAGCCAGCTGTAGACAGCCATTGAACAAACGCTTGGACTGCAAGGAGGCTACAGCTAGGCTGTGGCAGAGGTCGCAAACGGGTTTTGATTCCTTACCCGTACCCAGCCGTACCAGGGTCGCAAACGGGTACCCGTACCCGGCCGGGTACAGGTAGCCGGGTATCGGGTATGGTACGGGTATCGGGTACCCAGTTGCGACCTCTGGGCTGTGGGGGCCGCCAAAACCATAATCACCATCATCATCATCAATCGGCATGATACGGCATGGTAATGTACTGGCTTTACAGTGACCTCGGACAGGTCAGTTTGGTGATGTCCTCTTCCTCCACCTCCGTTGTGTTGCTGGAGCTTTGGCAGGAGCGGGTTGCCTCTCACAGCGGTGGCCAGCACAGAGCGAGCCTGTTCTGCTGGCTCTCGGGAAGCCACTGACAGTACTCTGCCTGCAGGACTGCACAAACAATCGCAACGCACACATGCGTGCAATCATACAACACATCATAGCCACAATCCTGAAGGTAATGTCTACGCGCACACGTGTGTGCAAGCCCTCCCACGCCATGCGAGCACGCGTAAAGGGTACCGCACAGCACGCGTCGACTCACACTTGGGCGAGCGCTGCCACACGGAGAGCAGAACGTCGCGACAGTCGGCCTCCTCTGCCACCAACGCCTGCAGCAGGGCCTGTGTGCGAGGCTGCAAGCTGCCAGACAAAGAGACAGAGAGATCCCCCGTGTAGCCTTTTAAAATAACTGTTGGATCAAGAGCTGTTAGCGAGTGCCTATTGAGGGCCACCTGGATGGCACACGGGGGGGTGGGTGGCCAGCATCGCGCCCACCCACCGTTGTCTCACCAATGCTGATATTTATACACCACTTATTTAAGGCTGAGTTGATCTAGGGGAGGCCCAGGACCGGTGCAAATATTTTAGAGTTGTTAACTGTGAGCGTTCGTAGCGCAGTGCGTTAATCACTACACTACCGCTCCCCTACTACCGTTTGTAAACGACACACTATTGCTCATTTAGCCACACAGAGTACTGTGTGTGGGGCAAGGGCTCCCAGCCAGAATCTCAAGAGTGGCACGGCACACGACGGAGTGGTGTGGTCGACACTGTGGTCGACCGCCTCCGTCTCCCCATCGCTGATTTATCCACACTGCACCAGGTAACCATTTAAGACTGAGCAGACCTAGTGGAGAACCAGAACCGTCTCGGATACCACATATCACTGCTTTTACCAGCGACGATTTTTATAGACCCCGGAAAGGATGATGGTGTGCGTCACCCAGCCTTGAATCTAATATTGCTGTGGTAATGAGTTTGGCACGCAGCCCGAGTGGAGAGTGCAGGCATGCCACAGCGTACTTGGCCCAGGTCTTGCACATGGTGGTGGGAGGAGAGAGAAGCAGTGGGGTGAACTCGGCCAGTTTTGATACCACCTGTGAACGCACATCGTCGTTGTCGTCAACATCACCGTCGCCATCAACCATTGTCATTGCCATCATCAACATCGCCATCGTCAACAACATCACCGTCGTCATTACCATCAATATCGTCCATCATATCAACGCAGTCATCACGGCCATCATCATCATTGTCTTGATGATCTTCACCACGACCATTATCACTCAGATGTGATGTTTCAAGTCTCATTAAAAACATTATACGAAATCATTTCTCATGGAGTGCTAATGAAATGTGTTAGATATAACAGGTTAATGCAATTACACTTGAGTATGCATTCATTCATTAATTGCAATCTGCCGGACATCCCCAAAAACTGGAAGGATCCTGCCCTCAATCAGTTGAGGGGGTTGACTGCAGTCTGATGACTGCTCCCTGTTGTTAACACGGAGGTTTCAGTCCATCGCTGCGTAACGCGTGTTGGCCGTGCTTACCTGGCCACCCAGCAGGAACTGGGCAAACAGTTTGTAGCGCATCAACCCGGCGGGATAGTCCACCTCCACAGGGGGCAAATCCCATCCCAGCCGTGCTAGAGCACACAGCAGAGTGTGAATGAGCAGAAGCACACGCATGAACACAGCTGCTATGCAGGCTCATGCATTCAATCAATCGATACTTCCTGCTGCTACTCAACTAAACCTTTATGCATAATCAACGTTTTTGGGTTTAGATCGCGTTATTTATAAATGTGTCGTAACCCTCCACCACTAACTGATTACTAATGTAGCATAATCACAATAACACACATTCCAACTGATTACTAATCTACAACTCGCATCGTAACAACTGCCTGATTACTAATCTAGTATATAATTACAATAACCCCCCCCCCCTCCGCCTCAAATCTTTGCACCTGATGAGTTAATGAGTTAATGATGACGTCACCCTGCTGCTGCTCTATTTAAGAACGGGAGACACAGCAGAGCCTCACCATTCTGGCGAATTGCCCGATGATGCTGGATGCAATTACCAGTGAAACGTCGTACTACTCAAAAATTTTAAATGTTGTGGTTTCACGCTTCAACACACCGGTGGGATAAAGCAGTGAACTATTTGTCTTTTGTCAACGTGACACTATTTTACTGATTGGCCGTGTCGGGTGGTGGAGGGTTACGACACATTTATAAATAACGCGGTCTAAACCCAAAAACGTTATGAATATTGGTCGCGAAAGCCTGCTACATGTTAAACTAAACCTTTATGCTCAACTCAACCTTTTATTTTACCAGGTAAGGCTCACTGAGCTATGTAGCTCTTTTTCAAAAGTGATCTGGCCACAAATGATAGCTTAATGAAGTGGCTTGTTATGTGGACATTTGTAGCAGCCAAATACTAAACGCATGATGTTGATTATAAAAGTGGATGGAAAAACGGGAAGACCCGGAGAAAAGAAAAATCCATGTGACCACGGGGAAAACATACAATCTCCAAATATACAGCAGCAGCAGGCGTCAGAGTCAGAATCGAACCCACAACCTCCTGCATACCAGGCGAGGTAGTTAACATCTCTCCTCTCTGCCCCCCTCCCCTCAGCTATGACCAGGCCTACCCCAACCCCTCTCCTTAACCACTCCCACCTGTTCTCTTGTCATCACCACCACTTTCAATAATAACCCCACTCTTTATCACAACCACCATCACCTTACATACACTTGTATAATTGCTGTAAAGCGCCTTGGAACCAGGTGCTACATAAATCTACGTGAGATTTGCTTTCGCGAGAGCCGCCCTCCTTTATGCCGGTACGTCTTGGGGCGCTTTGCCCGCAGTGGGCCGCGCGCATCACACCTCAGGGATTGTGAAAGGGCACCCCCCCCCCCCCCCCGGTGGCGGCTGCCCGCCCGTAGCACCAATCGACTCGGCACGGGGTCCGAAAATCGGGCAGCATTTGTCTGCCCAGAAGGGAGCGACGATTTTGCCGCGTAATCCCAATTGAGCGGTGCAACACAAACTCAACGCGATCGTCGTTGTTTGGAACGTAAGTAAAGAAAGAAGCCGATTTTTTTTTTTTACATCCCATCAGCCATACGAGCTTTTTGGGAGTGTACAATTTAAGCAGCATTAGCTCACGGCATGCAAACCCTGGACCGGTTTTGACATGCGTTGTCTCGTCACCAGTCAGGCTTGTTTGAACCACTGTGGCCGATGGCACGTGTGCACAAATATGGGAAGGAAGCATATTGTCTCCTTATCCATTTAATCATAGAGATGTAGTCCACAATGCTGTTTGCGATCCCAACTGAGTGAAGATGGCACTCATCTTCATTCACGAGGAAAGGTGTTTGACCCACATTTAATAGATGACCAGTTCAGCGATTCTCCACTTCAAACAAGGGAGAGCCGAACCCAGGATCTCAGTGGTTCTAGCTCAGCCCTCTGACCTCTGAGCCACCCGACCCGACTCTGTCTCTCCGAACAGCCCCCTCCCCCCCCCCCCGGTGCCGGTGACGTCGAGTAGCGTCGCTCTCACCGAGGGTGCTGGAGCGGTGGCAGCGAACTCTCCCCTCGCTCATCCGCGCCGGAGGCTCCGCCAGGGGCTCGCCGTAGCAGCACATCTGGGGCAGCTGCACCGGGATCCACTCGAGCTCCACCGCCGTCACCCCTGCAGAGTGCGGCAGTGAGGTCACGGGGGCAGCGGGAGAGAGAGGGAGGTCACGGGGGCAGTGAGAGGGAGGTCACGGGGGCAGTGAGGGGGAGGTCACGGGGGCAGTGAGGGGGAGGTCACGGGGGCAGCGGGAGAGAAAGGGAGGTCACGGGGGCAGTGAGAGGGAGGTCACGGGGGCAGTGAGGGGGAGGTCACGGGGGCAGTGAGGGGGAGGTCACGGGGGCAGTGGGAGAGAGAGGGAGGTCACGGGGGCAGTGAGAGGGAGGTCACGGGGGCAGTGAGGGGGAGGTCATGGGGGCAGTGGGAGAAAGAGGGAGGTCATGGGGGCAGTGAGAGGGAGGTCACGGGGGCAGTGAGGGGGAGGTCACGGGGGCAGCGGGAGGGATAGGGAGGTCACGGGGGCAGCAGCAGTGAGGTTACGGGGAGCATCACACGGCACGTTTCGTCGTCAACATTTACAACATTAAAGGACTAAATGAGGTCCTCTCAGGAAAGCGACAATGCAGCAGCGAGCCTCTAAAGTTGTTTGTAAGTCCATACGTCACCACCATACTCAGTGCGGGTTGGTGAAGAGGGAGCCCGGGATGGGAACAGACGTCATTCATCACACGTCAGTCATGGCAGGAAATCAAACTCGGATCGTTGGGCAAACCACGCTGCGCGCTCATGGATGTACCGCCGCTGCTTCGCCATGACAATGCTTGTGTACCGTTGCTTACGCAGGGAATCCAAAAACGTACGGTGTGAAAGAAGTTCAACATACATACATACGACTGGGACTGAGTTAATTGCATCGGAGAATCTACAGAGTGCGCGTTGGGAATGTGGAATCGAGGAGGAGGCAGTGGTTAGTGTGGCCACGTGAGCGCGTGCGCGAACGCGTGTCTGTGCGCGTGCGTGGTGAGCGGTGGCGCAGTGCTTAGCGCACTGCACTACGAATTGAGCGACCAGAGTTTCATTCACGCTCACGGCCAACATCGGTCACGATCTAAACCGGGCCTGGACCGCCCCCTCGGTATCTGGCGAGGTGTGTAAACATCGCCACCCGCACGCTCGTTTGCCGTGCCGGCCTTCATAGGTGTTCGCAAACAGCACTTGCCCTTCAAGTCCGTTAAGGCTATACAGGGGGATCTTTGTGTTTGCGAGTGCTTGAGCGTACCGTTCATACTCTTAGTTCTTTCGGTAAAGTCACGTAGGTAAAAAAATGAAATTAATAAAAAAAAACAATAAAAAATCACGACGTTTCGGAGGCAACACAAGTCTCCGTCATCAGGTGGGACCGTCACAGCCAGATTTGCTGCATCAAGTGAGGCAGGGATTCAAGATGCAAGCTCTTAAATACAAGTTAAGGGGGAGGAGAGGGGGGGGGGAGCTTATCAGAATGTGGTAGAGACTTGTGTTGCCTCCGAAACGTCGTGATTTTTATTGTTTTATTTTTATTAATTTCATTTTTTTTACCCTACGTGACTTTACCGAAAGAACTAAGAGTATGAATCCTTGCAGTCACGAAAGCTTCAAATCTAGAATTCGTACCGTTCATGTACATGTGAGATGTCTCCAGCAGCTCCTGGTACACCACGTACTCCGGCAGTTTCTTGCAGAGCACCGAGCTCGGGTGGATGTAAACCGAGTCCTCGAGGTACGCGGTCTGCCCCCGGGAGACACGCGCCGCACGGAAGCCGGCAAATGGCACGCCACTCACGAGCGTGCGAGGCACACCGCCCGCGAGTTTTTACGTTTTGTTTGGCCGATAGAAATCTGACGGAGATATCTCGCTTCGCGATTGTTATTACGTTTTTTTATTACGATCGTTTACCCAGGAATGCCTCGACGAGGGCCCTGGCACGTATCCGCAGTAGGCGGCGATGTTGCTGCTGCTGCTGCTGCTGCGTTCAATCCAAAATGAGTAATTCGCACTGCTCACAAGGAAACTTGTGAGCAGTGCGTTGTAGATTGTAAAGTGGCAATGGCTAGAAGGCTTATGCCGAGTGAATCGCAGCTGAATAACTTTGAAGCGACATATTCTTACTTGAAGTACATATATCAGGAGACAAGACCACGACTATCTCAACGCTAAATACAATTGCAAAGTTACGAATCACAGATTTCAATAATGAGCTTTCATTCAAGTCGTACTGATTCGTTATTAATTTTGATTATATTTTTACGGGGGCTCTGCCAACTTTTGGGAGTTGAGCTGTCCAGAAATGAACGTATTGATTTATTGATCGCGAAGCTTCATATCGCATGGTGATGAAGAAATAAAATCTACCGTGGCAACCCTAATTGTCGGACAAGCAATGAGCGGGACGACAAGACTGCGTGCCGTGCGTGCGGTACCCTGTACGTGTGCAGTGTGTGCAGTGTGTGCAGTGTGTGCGGTACCCTGTACGTGTGCAGTGTGTGCAGTGTGTGCAGTGTGTGCAGTGTGTGCAGTGTGTGCAGTGTGTGCGGTGTGTGTGGTACCCTGTACGTGTGCAGTGTGTGCAGTGTGTGCAGTGTGTGCAGTGTGTGCGGTGTGTGTGGTACCCTGTACGTGTGCAGTGTGTGCAGTGTGTGCAGTGTGTGCGGTACCCTGTACGTGTGCAGTGTGTGCAGTGTGTGCAGTGTGTGCAGTGTGTGCGGTGTGTGTGGTACCCTGTACGTGTGCAGTGTGTGCAGTGTGTGCAGTGTGTGCAGTGTGTGCGGTGTGTGTGGTACCCTGTACGTGTGCAGTGTGTGCAGTGTGTGCAGTGTGTGCAGTGTGTGCCGTGCGTGCGGTACCCTGTACGTGTGCAGTGTGTGCAGTGTGTGCAGTGTGTGCAGTGTGTGCAGTGTGTGCAGTGTGTGCAGTGTGTGCAGTGTGTGTGGTACCCTGTACGTGTGCAGTGTGTGCAGTGTGTGCAGTGTGTGCAGTGTGTGCGGTACCCTGTACGTGTGCAGTGTGTGCAGTGTGTGCAGTGTGTGCGGTGTGTGCGGTGTGTGTGGTACCCTGTACGTGTGCAGTGTGTGCAGTGTGTGCAGTGTGTGCAGTGTGTGCAGTGTGTGGTACCCTGTACGTGTGCAGTGTGTGCAGTGTGTGCAGTGTGTGCAGTGTGTGCCGTGCGTGCGGTACCCTGTACGTGTGCAGTGTGTGCAGTGTGTGCAGTGTGTGCAGTGTGTGTGGTACCCTGTACGTGTGCAGTGTGTGCAGTGTGTGCAGTGTGTGCGGTACCCTGTACGTGTGCAGTGTGTGCAGTGTGTGCAGTGTGTGCGGTACCCTGTACGTGTGCAGTGTGTGCAGTGTGTGCAGTGTGTGCAGTGTGTGCAGTGTGTGCAGTGTGTGTGGTACACTGTACGTGTGCAGTGTGTGCAGTGCGTGTGGTACCCTGTACGTGTGCAGTGTGTGCAGTGTGTGCAGTGTGTGTGGTACCCTGTACGTGTGCAGTGTGTGCAGTGTGTGCAGTGTGTGTGGTACCCTGTACGTGTGCAGTGTGTGCAGTGTGTGCAGTGTGTGTGGTACCCTGTACGTGTGCAGTGTGTGCAGTGTGTGCAGTGTGTGCAGTGTGTGTGGTACCCTGTACGTATGCAGTGTGTGCAGTGTGTGCAGTGTGTGTGGTACCCTGTACGTGTGCAGTGTGTGCGGTACCCTGTACGCGTGTCTGCCCTTGCCGTCTCCTCCGCCCGCCTGCGGCGCGCTCGGCGCCCTGCGTGCCAGGCGCTCCCCGGAGGCGGCGAGCACGAGCTGCCGCAGCGTCTTCACCTGCGCCTCGGTGGGCGGCCGCATGCGAGGGTCCATCACGGCGTTCGTCCCCGGGCACACCGAGTTCACTGCAGCAGAGCGCGCGGCCGGCAACAGACAACGCGTGAAGCAGCGGCACCGCGGCTGCTCGCTCGCGCCGCGACCTCCGCTCGGCACGGACGCAACGGCCAAAGCACCATCACCGGCGCGGTCGGATACACAACATCGCCCGCCTCTATCTTTGGACGTCCACCGCATCTCTCTTCGCTCCGTTCACCCGGCACTACAGCCCGAGGTAGATCCCTCTGCAGCGGCGCTACTGACAACCTCCTCTCCACACCGTCACCGCCCGGCGTGGTTTCTCCGTGGCAGCCCCCTCCGTCTGGAAAGCGGCTGCCATCATCATCGATCATCATCATCATTGTCCCACTGCCACGTTCGCAACAGCAGCGTTCAATCAACACCGGCTTGAAAGAGGCACTTGAAGGCCCTGCCACCATCTCTCGCCTGGCTTTCAAGCGACACCTCGGAATCAGAGTCACTTATGTCCGTGAAATATTATACACCGCCTCAATGTTCTCTCTTCCTCCCGTGACCTCGTGTATGTATGCATGCTGAACTTCTTCTTGGTTCTTTCGGTTAAGTCACGTAGAAGGGAAGTAATAAAATAATAAAAATAAAACATAATAATTATTTTATTATGTTTTATTTTTATTATTTTATTAATTATTTTATTGTGTTTTATTTTTATTATTTTATTACTTCCCTTCTACGTGACTTAACCGAAAGAACCAAGAAGATGAATCCCTGCAGTCACGAAAGCTTTAAATCGAAATTCATGCTGAACTTCTTTTTCACCGTACGTAGCCCACCGCGCTAATCTCTAATCTTGGTGGCGTTGACCTGTCATGTACTTGTAAGACAGTGCGTGCTGATCAAGGCCTACCGGAGTTGGTGAGCTGCCCTCTCAGGCGTCTGATCTCTCGCATTGCCTTGAGGCGAAGGCCGTGGTCTGCACAGAACTCGGGTGTGCAGCCTGCGAACTCGCACGCACCAACCGCACCTGCACACACGCACACGCACACACGTTCAGTTTCACACGATGACAAAAGCCTAGGCAAACTGCTGGGCCAAGTGCTGTTAGCGAGTAGCAGCTGTGAAGGCCGGCACGGCGCACGAGATGGTGGTGTGGCCAGGGCCACCCCCGGCCGCCTTTGTCTTCCCAGTGCTGATGTTGACACACCGCACACACGAGGGGGTTCTCGTGTGTCAACGTCACCACTGGGGAGACGAAGGCTGCGGAGCGTGAAGTTGGTCACCCGCCCCCTCTGGTGTGCCGTGCCGGCCTTCACAGGTGCTACTTGTCAACAGCACTTGCCCCAACAGTCTGTGCAGGCTATACGGGAGGTCTTTGTTTGCATGCAAGCTGAACTTCTTTCGCACCGTACGTAGCCAAGCGTGTGTGTGTGTGTACGTGTGTGGCGCTTACTCAGCATCACCATGAGGTCTCCCAGTTGCAGGGACTGCCCGTGGCCGGCCCACACGCGGCGTGTGTGGGCCGAGCAGGGGCGCGCGCCGCCCTCCGCATCGGCCTCCCTGCACGCACGCACAATCACGCACAATCACGCGCGAGGATCTCCATCATCGCATGAACAGACTGTAGGGGCAAGTGCTGTTAGCGAGCACCTATTAAGGCCGGAACAGTACACGAGGGGGTGGGTGGCCAGCACCACGCCCGGCCGCCTTTGCCTCCCCAGTGGCGATGGTGACACACCGGTCCAGTGTACTCATTTGAGGCTGAGTCGACCTTGGAGAGACCCAGGACCAGTTCAGATAATCGTCACTGATGTTGGTGTTGGCCGTGAGCAGGAATCGAACTCGGGTCGCCGGGTTCATAGCACGGCGAGCTAACCGCTGCACTATCGCTCCCCTCAATCTCACACACAATCACACACATAACACACGCACAATCACACACTCACACACAATCACACACACAATCACACAATGACACACACACGCACACAATGACACACACACAATCACGCACACACACAATCACGCACACACACAATCACGCACACACACACAATCACGCACACACACACAATCACACACACACACACAATCACACACACACACAATCACACACACACACAATCACACACACACACAATCACGCACACACACACACAATGGAACACGTTCCAGAGAGGATGTCCCCCGTGGAGACGGGGCAAACAAGTTGTTGGGCGCGCACCTCGTGACGAACATCTCGCGGACGGTGAGCCCCGCCACCAGCGTGATGGCGTACTCGGCGAGGCCGTGCTGCGGGGACAGCGCCAGCAGCTTGGCGAAGCGCGGCGCCACGGGCAGAGTGGCCATCACGCGGCCGAGCGGGGTGATGCGCTTGTGTGTCACCCCGCGGAAACCCCTGCGCGCCAACAGCACCGACGACGACAAGAAGACGATCACGACGGGGCCTTCGTGCTCGCGACGGCGAGGTGCGAGCACAAACCATCACCACGCAAACTCCGCTCATCTTCGCAGCGGCGGCTTCTGGCTCGGCCGTCGAACAAAGGCGGTGGTCACCGCATCGCGCCGCGCTTTCAGACGCGCTTCTGCGGCCGTCTGGAACGCTCTTCCTTCCGATGTTAGGAAGCCGCTGGAGCTGTGCACTTTTAAATGATCTACATTGAAAACGCATTCCCTGAGGGCTGATTTTTGTGTGTCGTTTGTTGACCTCCTGCACCTCCGACTAGCATGGTTGTTGTTTGACTTGCATCCCACTGGGATATTTGCACAGGGTTGGTGTACGGTGATTTTTCTGCAATATTTTGCTGTCTTTTCTTGGATTATCTGTTTGCACATAGTCACTTTAAGATGTTTTCTTGTTCATGTTTTGGTTTTTTGTTTGTTGCGGTTGCACCCGATTCAAGAGCCGAATGGCTCACAGGACTATACCTAATAAATTAACTTTGAACTTTGGCTACGTATGGTGCGAAATAAGTTAAACATACGTACATGTGAACTACCTTACCTGCTATTACAGCAGATTGTGGGTTCGATGCCGACCCTGACGCCTGTTTAGTTTGCATGTTGTCCTCGTAGTCGTGTGGATTTTTATCTGGCTCCTCCGGTTTTTCCCTCCACATTTGGAATCAACGTGTGTTTACAGTACTTGGCTGCTATACATTTCCATGGGATAAGCAACTTCGTTGAGCTGTCATTTATGGTCAGGTCGCTTCTGAAAAAGTTATAGAAATATAATAATAGGGTTTTCCCCTTTTTTCTGGCAAACAAAACTGAAAACTTTTGACAAGGATTCATGTCTGCATTAACCACAATACTTGCAGTCGAAATGCAAACAAAAACACACTATGATAATATAGGCATTGTCCTTGAAACTGATTGGTCCACACCAAGGGACGGCTTTTTTTGAGCCTCGACCCAATGCATATTATCATCGTGTGTTTTTGTTTGCATTTCGACTGCAAGTGTTGTGGTTAATGCAGACATGAATCCTCGTAAAAAGGTTTCAGTTTTGTTGCCAGAAAAAAAAAGGGGAAAAACCCTATTATTATATTTTGGTACTGGAAAAGGATGTCTAATGATGATAGTTTAATTTAGACGAATACAATGGGTTAAAAAACACCAACCGTTTTTGCAGCCAACACCATGGGGTCATCGTTCATGTTTGGGTTCGGGCAGGATTTCCTAGTAACCGACTACCTAGATCTTCGTCCTCATGATGGATTGACAGTAACAAAGACAAAGATCCCCCTATAGTCTGAACAGAATGTTGGGGCAAGTGCTGTTAGCGAGCAGCACCTACGACGGTCGGCACGGCACACGACAGGGCGGGTGGTCGGCACCACGCCCAGGCGCCTTTGTCTCCTCCGCGGTGATGTTTAGACATTGCACAAGGTACTCGGTTTAAGCTGAGTCGACCCCGAGAGTGGGGGGGGGGGGGGGGGCCCAGGACCGGTTCAGATAAAATTGTCACTGCTGTTGAAGACCACGAGTGGGAACGCGGGATGCCGGGGGGTTAGTAGCGCGATGGCAGAGGTCGCAAACGGGTTTTGATTCCTTACCCGTACCCGGCCGCACCAGGGTCGCAAATGGGTACCCGTACCCGTACCCGGCCGGGTACGGGTAGCCGTTCCCTACCCGTACCCTACCCGAAATGAGTGACAAACGGCTACTCACCAGTGACTCACGGTCTACCCGTACCCGTACCCGGCCGCACCAGGGTTGTAAACGGGTACGGGTAGCCGGGTATCGGGTAGGGTACGGGTATCGGGTAGGGTACGGGTATCGGGTAGGGTACAGGTATCGGGTAGGGTACGGGTATCGGGTAGGGTACGAGTATCGGGTACCCGGTTGCGACCTCTGCGCGATGGGCTAACCGCTGCACCACTGCTGCCCCCTACGCACAAACCTGCCGCCGCCATCTTTAGGAGATCGAGTTGCCGACTCCTCCAGAGCTCCCAGCAGCTGGAGAGACTCCTCGGCCGCGAGCAGCACGCTGGGATCCGGGGGAGTTGGGAACGGGAAATTCATCACCTGCACGCGCACAACGCACAACGGGGCACGCGCAAGAAGCCGGGGCCGTGTCCAATTTCACGCTCGTGTACAGTAACGACAATCGTGTTGATGACAATGAGACCGATGTGTAACTGAGCGTACGCAAATCTGAGGCCTGCCGAGATTCTCAAGCCAGTGGCGATCCCCCATGTTCTGGGGTCGACTGGCCCACGCAGCCTGGCAGACAGCACCGTGCGTTGATTTTGACCCGAGCTAATTTTTTCCCCATAGACGGATATTCCCTTTCACAAAGAGCGTTTGGTGATGCTGCTACCGCTGCCGCCGCCGCCACTGCGTTGGGCAGCGGTGCGCGGGCACAACGAGACGCTCAAAACACCCCCCGTCAATAACAGGGTGTGTGTGTGTGGGTGTCGCCTTAAAATGGATGGCCCATCTCCACGGCACGTCGATGGAGGGTGGCTGCCGTCGCATGAAGATCGGCAACACTGGAATTGCAACCCCAGAGGTTCAGTTTGATCTCTCGACGTGGCAGCTGAAGCGACGGAGAAAGTTTCTGAAATAAAAAAACTTCCGCAGAGGCTTCGTCTCACCCGGTCAATGTTGAGCGCCTTCATCTGCAGCACCAGGTCTTCCACGGGTCTTGTGGTGATCTCGGGCGGAGAGAACATCTCCAGGTCAGAGAAGACCGCTGAGCTGTAGAGCCTGGAGGTTCCGCACAAAGAGTGGTGCAGCGCGGTCTTTACAACCGCCGCCAAGTTCGCAGCGTGCAGCGCGCGTGCGGCTTCAACATTCAAGAAGCACTCGCACCTCCGATTAGCACGCTCGGCTACGTACGGCGCGCAACGAGTTCAACGTACGTGCGTACTCGAGTTTCTACTGATCGCGTGCGTATCCATTTCGCCTCGACGTACGGTGCTCGTTGTGTTTAAGGCGACGTGAAAACACGCAGCAGGTGGGGACACACCGCTTGAAGGTTCTCGTCTACCGCACAACTATGGGCCGTCGAGTTAACCGCTCTCCTAAAGCCCTCTCGGTGTGTGTGTATGTTGAACTTCTTTCACACCGTACGTAGCCAACCAAGGTGTGGGGGAAGGACAACACAAAAAGCAGTTCTAAAGAAGTAACTCGTAACAGCGTAGCAAAATAAATTGTAACGAAATCGCTGTGCTTCTGTGCGAGTAATTAACAGAGGCGGCATATGTTTCATTGTTAAAACATCGGAGCATTTAGGCTCGTCTTCAATTAGGCCTTCTAAATTAATCTCATCCAGCGGTATTGATTTAAACGATACAAACCATGGACTAGTTTTGACTTGTCCAAGTATCATCAACATCACATTCAGTCGAGTATAGGCCAGTGCTCTTCATTGCAAGGCCCGCGGGCCACTGGCGGCCCCTGGTGGCCTTTAGTGCGGCCCCCGACAATACACTAATGTGAACACACCCCCATCATTATCATGCTGCTGCTGCTGATGTCAAACTCAGCAATAGTTTGAAATGTCCTCACACTGACGATGTCTTACCGGCAAAAGTGCCCCCCCTCCCCCTCTGAAAATTAGTGAAGAACACTGGTAAAGGCAAAATGTCCACGTGTACTTATACAGCCCGTACTTTAATCAATTTCCCTGTTGGATGAGCGCCTCTCCACTGACTATTGTGGTTCAACCACAATGGTCAGTGGAGGGTCGCATGTCTTTGGCAGCGCAGATTAACAGATACTACGATGGATGTTTCTGTTCCGCCCTCCGCTGGCTCCAACATAGCCACCCACGCAGCAGCAGCCTCCAGCAAGGCGCCATAGACGTTGGCAACCGATCCAAACACAATCCATGCTCAACCCAGCTTGGCTCCCGAAATCGCAGGGTCACAGCGTGACATTGAACCTATCAATTGGCCCATCACGTCGACGAGTATTGTCCGGCGCTAAAATGCGCTCACCCCGATCCCTCGTGCGCGCCTCTGCACGAGCGGCGTTTATGTTACGTAAACATCGAGTAGTTTTGTGCTGCGCTGTCTGTGCAAATTGCACAATCTCACAATCGCAGGGGAACCACGGGCGAACCGGAAGGTAGCAGCCAGCGCGGGCAGCGAGCCTGCGCTGCCAACACTTGCCCAAGCTCTGCAGTCCTCTACATTATGAACCCTTTCCCACTCCGAGACATCTGCAAGATGCAGGGCGGGTCCCGTCCACCGCTGAATCTCGGAACGCTCGAGCGGTTCAGCGTTTTATTTGGAGAGGCGCAGCGCTGCTGTTTTTAAAAGACACCGTACTGTCCTCACTGCTGAGAAACTGTAGCGACACGACCGCACTCTACGATGGCTGAAGCCAAAACTGTGCCACACGCCCTCCCGCACGGCCTTTTACTCCCAATTCCGTTGGGAATCGACTCCGTTCCGACGAGGTAAACGAACGGGATCGGAAGGGAATCGGGAGAAAAAAAAAAACTGATGACGTACACAATGACGTACACGAACGTCATCGGAATGGCAAATGGTTAAAATGTCAGCCAGCCAACCAACCGACGAGCGATAATAGTTTTTTTACCCTTCTATCTGGCAACAAAACCGACACCTTTTTTTACGAGGAGTCATGTTTGCATAGACCACAATACCTGCAGTCATAAAATGCTTACCCCGAGCTCTCATACTCTGATGGTGCATTGTCTTTGAGTTGTGCGCCTTTTGGCGTCATCTGGTCCAACCCATGTGAGACTAGGCTCTAAGGAAAGCTGTCTCGGGTGTGGACCAATCAACTTCAAGGACAGTGCATACATTATCAGAGTTGTGTTTTTTGTTTGCATTATGACTGCAGGTATTGTGGTCTATGCAAACATGACTCCTCGTAAAAAAAGGTGTCAGTTATGTTGCCAGATTAAAGGGTAAAAAAACAATTATCATATTTTTTACTGGCAAATGAGGAGCAACTGACGAGCGTTTACACGCGCGCAGGGCGAGGCGGGCGGGGCGGCGGGCCCGCCGTGCGTCACCTGTAGCAGTGGCCGGCCTGCGTGCGGCCCGCGCGTCCGGCCCGCTGGTTGGCCGAGGCCTGCGAGACCCAGGCGACGCGGAAGGAGCTGACGCCGGTGACGACGTCGTGGTGGCGGCGCTTGACGCGGCCGGTGTCGATGACGTAGCGCACGTCCGGCAGCGTCAGCGACGTCTCCGCGACGTTGGTGGCGACAACGCAGAGGCGGGAGCCGGCGGGTGGAGGGCAGAACACCTACGCGGTGATGGGGGGGGAGGGGGCAACCGAATAAACATCATCATTATAATCAACAACAACAGCAGCATCATCACAAGCATCCTGAATACTATGTACATCAGTAGATAGTAGTAAGGGTTCTCCGATTAGCACCCGACACCTCCGATTAGCATGGTTGGTAGACGTATGGTGCGAAAGAAGTTCAACATATGTACAACATACATCATCGCCTTCAATTCTATTATTTATTTAGATTCATGGCTTCTCACGGGGGGGGGGGGGGGGGGCAGGAGTCCGATGCTAGACTTCGAAACGCGGTTTCGTTGACTTGCCGTTGTCGTTATGGGAGGGGGGAAGGTAGGGGGAGGGGCGGGGAGACGTTCAGAGCGAGCTTCGTGCTGCGCCTGCGCTCCGCGTACCTTGGCCTGCTGCTCCGCCGACAGCAGCGAGTAGAGGGGCAGCACGTAGAGGGGCTCCGCGCAGCTGCGGCTCGGATCTGGAGAAACAAACGAATGGCGGCAGTCATCGCTGCAGGGACGGCGGCGTACGAACCGTAAAGTACCACGACACTGTACCAACCGTAAAATACTACGACACGCCGTCTGCTTTACAGCGAACTCCGTAGAGATCGCGCGGCGTCATTCCAAGGAGAGGGCCATCGCGTGGCGGCACCGCGGCCCAAATTAGAAAAATAACGCCGCAAAATGTACTCAATTGGGAAGACGCGCAGCAATGGTCACGAGCTGATGATCAACTTTGTCGCAAAGTCTTGCGACTTGCTGAGGTTTCCCGGGTAAACAAGCGTGATGCTGATAATTGGTTTTTTACCCTTCTATCTGGCAACAAAACTGACACCTTTTTTACAAGGAGTCATGTTTGTATAGACCGCAATACCTGCAGTCATAATGCAAACAAAAGACATAACTCTGATAATGTGCACTGTCCTTGAAGTTGATTGGTCCACACCCGAGACAGCTTTCCTTAGAGCCTAGTCTCACATGGGTTGGACCAGATGACGCCAAAAGGCGCACAACTCAAAGACAATGCACCATCAGAGTATGAGAGCTCGGGGTAAGCATTTACACCATTGGAATCTCATTTGCCAGTAAAAAATAAAATTGTTTTTTTACCCTTCTATCTGGCAACAAAGGTGTCAGTTTTGTTGCCAGATAGAAGGGTAAAATTTTTTTTTCATATTTTTACTGCCAAATGAGGTTCCCAAAGCGTGATGCTCACAATAATTACACACAAGGCAGTCACTCTTGTCACTGCAAAAAAAAGACCTTGCAGTGACAAGATGTGACCATCGTCAACACCCTGGTCCCTTTTGATCGGAATGAGCCTTTAAATTAGAGGTGCCCAACCCCCGGGTCGCGGACCGGTACCGGTCTATGGCCTGTTAGGAACCGGGCAGCACAGCAGCAGCAGGTGAGAGCGGTGAGTCCGCGCGTGGCCCGCCCATTATTTTATTTACCACTTCTGTCCGCGCCTCTTTCCCGCACTGCGCACTTGTCTCAGTCACAGTGTTGGTAAGCCCACAAGCTCTAACCCCGAGTAGCCACAATGAGTAAAAAAACAAACGTCGCTGGAGAGCTTCTTCGAAATGGGGAAAGACCCAATGATGAAACCCCCCCTACTGCCCCCCCCACCCCCGGTCCGTGAAAAAATTGTCTTCCACGAAACCAGTCTCAGATGCCAAAAAGTTTGGGGACCGCTGCTTTATATAATTAATCGATTACTCAAACTACTGCTGCAGCTTCTGACACACGAGAATTGTCAGTCGACCTCGAAGTCACTCTCACCTTGTTGAGCTATTTCATCATCCTCCGAGTACAAATCCAAGTCATCTCCCTCCTCATCCCCCTTATCCACCTCGTCTTCACCATCGCTGTGATCTTCATTTTCCATAGGCAAGACAGAATACTGATCCAGGTCTATGCGTGGCAACTAAACACACACACAGAAACACACAGATACCATGATTAAATTTCGATTTAAAGCTTTCGTGACTGCAGGGATTCATCTTCTTGGTTCTTTCGGTAAAGTCACGTAGAAGGGAAGTAATAAAAGAAAAAAAGAAAAAACATAATAAAATAATTCTCACAATTATTATTTTATTTCATTTTTATTATTTTATTCCCTTCTACGTGACTTTACCGAAAGAACCAAGAAGATGAATCCCATGATTAGTTTAATCACCTAACTTCCTTGTGAGGCGACCATCAGCCCAAGATCTGACTGCCCTGCCTCCCCGGTTCACCATTGGGAATGGAACGGAGGTCATCGACCTCGCAAGACATTTAATAGAGAATGCTCGTAAAATCCGGCAGGCTGTGATGCAGTAAAGCAAAACATTTTTTTATACTATGAGACATCTCCTTTACCAGTGGCAAACTATAGTGATAGGTTTTTACCCTTTCAACTAGTACAAAAACTGACACCTTTATACAAGGCATCATGTTTGCAATAACCACAACACAAGCAGTCAAAATGCAAACAAAAAGAAACAACTCTGGTGATAATGATATGCACTGTCCTTGAAGTAAAGGAGGTATCATAGTGTAAATGCTTACCCCAAGCTCTCAATACTCTGATAGTGCGCTGTTTTTGAGTTGTGCGCCTTTTGGCGTCATCTGGTCCAACACCAATGGAGACTAGGCTCTAAGAAAAGCTGTCTCGGGTGTGGACCAATCAACTTCAAGGACAGTGCATATCATTAGCATCATCATCATCAGAGTTGTTTCTTTCCGTTTGCATTTTGACTGCTTGTGTTGTGGTTATTGCAAACATGATGCCTTGTATAAAGGTGTCAGTTTTTGTACCAGCTGAAAGGGTAAAAACCTATCACTATTATTTTTTATGTAAAAGGAAATATGTGCAAGTCCTAGTGAGATAGCAAATCTGGGGTCACAGCAGTGGCTGCTAGGGATGGCGTCATCACTGCCACTGCACCAGCCAATCGGCTGCGAGGAAGACAACACGAGAAAACATGGCCACCGTGACATCATCGTTCTGTATGCTTCAGCTGGTCTGTGGTAAATATGCTCTTAACGTTTATTATAATTATTATTGTTGTTTTGAACACGATCATTGTATTTAATAGTTGTCAATAATAATGCTACTTTATTATTTATAGGTCTACGTCCTTCAACTTTAACAATCGGTGTAACAGTGTTCCCGAATCCACCCTTAAAAGTTCTCTTAACTTTACAAAAATTAATTTGTCTAAACTCCCTCGTAGAATCAAAGTCGAGAATGGTTTTATCACAGTCGAATGTGCAGACGCGTTGGCACCCACCTTGACGGCGCTTCTCGATTTCTTGAGGTTCACCTCCTCAGAAGCTTCCGGATCCTCACCCTGATCCTCCCCTGTAACGGTAAATGTGCGAGCGCGCCCCTTCAGACCTCGACAGCCTTCTCACTTCAGTCGATTAAGTCCATTACGTAACCCACGACAGACCAATTCATTACAATTATTCGATGACGCTGCTGCTGCTGCTTTGGCAGTCGTGCACAATCACAATTAACAAGAAAACACATTTGCCAAAAACAGTGTGTTGTGTGGCCTTACAAGAAAAAATAATAACAGGTGACATTTCTCGATTTAAAGCTTTCGTGACTGCAGGGATTCATCTTCTTGGTTCTTTCGGTAAAGTCACGTAGAAGGGAAATAATAAAATAATAAAAATAAAACATTATAAAATAATTATCACGACGTTTTCAGCCACAACGCAAGCAGCCGTCTTCACCTGAGGACGGCTGCTTGCGTTGTGGCCGAAACGTCGTGAGAATTATTTTATTATGTTTTATTTTTATTATTTTATTATTTTCCTTCTACGCGACTTTACCGAAAGAACCAAGAAGAGGTGACATTTCGGCAACGGTTCTTGTTTCTGGCACGTAAATCGTGATTTATGAAGAGGAGATGTACGCAATGGTGTGTTGATGTTCTGACACGGGTGATGGTTCCACCAGTGTCTTCGGGGAATGTCAACAGAACCAGGAGGTGCAATGTTTGTGTCTCGACTTCGGTGTTAATTTCTGGACGTCTGCGTCGTTCCGAACTGTTCGCCAGCGTTCTTCTGGATCTGGCCGAGTTTCGAGAATGGCAGCAGCGTGAGTTGGAAGCAATGGTACATTGATAATTGGTTTTTTTACCCTTTTATCTGGCAACAAAACTGACACCTTTTTTACAAGGAGTCATGTTTGCATAGACCACAATACCTGCAGTCATAATGCAAACAAAAAACATAACTCTGATAATGTATGCACTGTCCTTGAAGTTGATTGGTCCACATCCGAGACAGCTTTCCTTAGAGCCTAGTCTCACATGGGTTGGACCAGATGACGCCAAAAGGCATCAGTTTTGTTGCCAGATAGAAGGGTAAAAAAACAATTATCATATTTTTTACTGGCAAATTAGGTTCCAATGATGGCAATGGTACATTATTGAGGTATTGCTTGATGGGTCGGTTTTCATTAGCAAGAAAACGTGTAAACTCCTTTGCAGTTTGCGTGACGTCTCTGCGGAAATGATGAATAATGCATGATGGTGATGAAAAAAATTGTGATCGTTGTTGCTGCTTCTGTCACCTTCACAGCCATTGATAAAAACGATGATGATGATGTAGTACGTTTGTTCAACTTCTGTATGTATGTTGAACTTCTTTTGCACCGTACGTAACCAACCGTGCTAATCGAAGCTGCGGGGGAAAGGAGCTTTCATTTTCGATGATGGCTGGTACCTGCTTGTGCGGCGGTCTGCGCGCCGGTCCGGCGTGGGAAGGCCGTGCGGAGCCGCCTGCACAGCGCCTGCACCTCGGCCTGGCCCGTGACGAACACGAGCACCCCGCCCGGCGGCAGCAGGCGGTGAATCTTGCTGACCTTGCGGAACGCCTCGCCCACGTAGTCGTCCGGCGGCGTGCGCTTGTTGAAGTGCACCGTCACCGGGAACTGGCGAGCGTCCACCTGTGTGTTGATAATTTAGGTGATTCGTCTTTAGTAGAAGATACTATCTTCTTGGTTCTTTCGGTAAAGTCACGTAGAATGGAAATAATAAAATAAAACATAATAAAATAATTCTCACGACGTTTCGGCCACAACGCAAGCAGCCGTCCTCAGTTGAAGACCAGGTCTGTCGGGGAGACAGACCTGAGGACGGCTGCTTGCGTTGTGGCCGAAACGTCGTGAGAATTATTTTATAATGTTTTATTTTATTATTTCCATTCTACGTGACTTTACCGAAAGAACCAAGAAGATGAATCCCTGCAGTCACGAAAGCTTTAAATCGAAATACAAGATACTAGTTTTAGAATTTTGTGTACTGTACCAAATCTTACTTTAATGTTTTGCTTTTGCAAAACACGGGCTAATTTGTCAGTTACTGCTTTGCGATCGAGTTAGATACCTCAGGTAAGGCCCACTGAAGTATGTAACTCTTTTTCAAGAAGCGACATCGCCACAAATGATAGCTCAACGAAGTGACTTATCCCATGGACATTTACAGCAGCCAAAAATGCTGCGTTTATAAATGTGGAGGGAAAAACCAGAGGACCCGGAGAAAAATCTATACGACCACGGGGGGAGGAGAGACATGCACACTCCAAATATGCAGCAGGCGTCAGGGTCGGGATCAAACCCACGACCTCCTGTATACCAGGCGAGGTAGTTAACATTTCCTAGCCACCGTGGCGCCCTTACACAAGCTTAAGCGCGAGACCAGTTGCAGACACGCACCTACCCTACTTTTTTTTCCACTGGCGCCGGGGGGGGGGGGCCATCACGGTACGGTTGATTTTCCCACTGGCTATATTTGGCGAGCCGAGCCGGAAGTGAACCGTGATTCCTCTGGCCTCGCAAGGCCTCCACAAGTCTGTCTCGAGCCCTGCGAGGAGGCGAGCACCGGGACCGCGAGGCTCGTGGCGTGCGACGTCCACGGTACATCTCAGTTTTTCGCGGCGATATCAACGACCTGGGGGCCTCTGGAAGCCGCGCCGAGTTGGCTCAGCACGGGTCCTGGCGGCGCTCAATTAGAGGGAGCTCTTGAGGGTCTTTGGCCTACTCGTCCAAACCGACAGGGAGACGATGCGGATTTTGAAAAAAAAAAAACTTGCTTTGTTTCACCTGCCACGCAGGGGCGAACGAATCGGACCGGTGGCGTCTGTGTTGCAAGTTCAACGAGCTTGGCATTACGCCACGGCAGCGTCACCCGTGTAATTAGAAGTTACCTATAATTTGAAGTTGTTAGGAAGACTTAGGTGGCCCATGCCGTAAGTGCAAAATGTGAGAGCCGCCTCAGCACTCGAGTTGGTGCGAGGATTGAAGTGGGGGGGGGGGGATGGGTCACCTTAATCACGGGTGGAGGGGAGGGGAAGAGACGCAGGTTTTCCGTGAAGTCCTCAACGCGAAGGGTGGCCGACATGATGACCAGCTTGAGAGGGGAGCCTCGCTGAAATGCAAACCACGCACACGCTGGCTGCTCACACGGCACTACACGCACGGCACCACACGCACAGCACTACACACACGCACGGCACCACGCACAGCACGGCATCACGCACACACGCACAGCACCACGCACGCACAGCACCACGCACGCACAGCACCACGCACGCACAGCACCACGCACGCACGGCATCACGCACACACGCACAGCACCACGCACGCACAGCACCACGCGCGCACAGCATCACACGCACGGCACCACACGGCGCCACGCGCATGGCACCACGCACGGCATCACACACGGCATCACACACGCACATGTGGCACCACTCCACGCACGGCGCCACGCGCATAAACACAGCGCCACAACATACACGGCAGCACAGGCAGTAGTGTACATTTACAACATGGACATCGCACCACTTGAAAAATCCCCCGCCCCACCCCACCCCCGCGCGGCGATCACCTTGTGGCGCAGGGGCACGATGCGCGACAGCAGCCCGATGAGCACGTCTGTGTGCACGCTGCGCTCGTGGGCCTCGTCGATGATCAGCGCGCTGTAGCGCGACAGCACAAAGTCCTGTCCACGCCGCACAGCCCGCGTCACGCAAACACAACTAAGATAAATACCCCCCCACCCCCCCACCGCGTAATAATAATAACAATACTTTCATTTTATATAGCGTCAGTCATGCCAACAACATCCCACAACGCTGCACATGAATTATATATAAGAACCAAAATGCATAGACACGCGGTTGGCTATGCATGGCGCGAAAGAAGCCCAACTACTACCAAGGAAGATATTTTAAAAAATGGCACCAAAACAAAAAGCACAAACAACAAGAAAGTTATCAAAACAAATAAATAAGTCCACGAGGCCACGTCCCAGCCATAGCAGACTTTTGGGACAAGTGGTGTTCGCGAGTAGCACCTATGGAGGCCGGCACGGTACACAGAAGGTGGGGGGCCGACACGACGGCCGACCGCCTTTGTCTCCCCAGTGGTGATATTTTTACACACCGCCACCAGGTACTCATTTGGGGCCGAGTCAACCTAGGGGATGCCCGGGACCGGTACAGTTAATCGTCACCGAATTCGGGTCGCTGGATTTGTAGCGCGGCACGCTGCAACAGCTCGAACCTCGTCACATTTGTAACATTTCAGTTTCATTTATGAGGTATAACCCTGTGAGCCATGCGGCTCTTGACTCGGGTGCAACCGCAACAAAACAGAAACATGAAGAAGAAACATCTTAAAGTGACTACACGCAACAGAAAAAAACGTGTGGCGCATTACAACGCTGACACGATCAGCGGGCTGGGTGTGAGCTTGGACTCTTAATTAAGGAGGAGAATCGCTGCTTTGGAAATGAAAGCCTTCTGGTAAAAATCCCAATTTGTAAAGCTGTTTTATGAAGAGCGAGGAAAAGCAGAAGAATTTCTGAGAAAGAAGAGACACAGAAACATGACCAAGGCTAGCGAGTCAGGTCAAGCACAGAAAGCCGCGATCATCCGGATCGGTAACCGAGATGAACGGTGACCGGCTGTGAAGGACGGTGATGGGGGAGCAGCCCAGGCAGGTGCCAGGGGAAGACGACCACGTGAGATGATGTCATACGGTACACGGGAAGTCGGGAGATGACATCACGCGTAACCATGTCGTCGCGAGGCACGCAAACACACAGAGCTAAGGCATTGTCACTTTCAGTATGGGTTGGAAGGTATTGCAGTCACACACACACACACATATATATTTATAGATACGCGTACACCCAGACGTACCTTCTGCACTTCCCGTAGTAAGACACCGTCTGTCATGAATTTAATTTTGGTTTCGGGCGTCACGTTCCCATCGTAGCGCACCTGGTAAGACACAATCCTGCACGGACAAAAACAAAAATCCCTCACTTTAGTTTCACGAGCGATCGGGAAACTCCCTCGAGAGAATATTCCTACGTCTGAGGGTTGCTGTCGTAACGTACAAACTCCGTCTTCACGACGAGCCACGGTGGAGAGATAACTACCTCGCCTGGTATGCAGGAGGTCGTGGGTTCAATCCTGACCCTAACACCTGTACATGTGGAATTTGCGTGTTCTCCCCTTGGTGGCGTAGATTTTTCTCTCGGTCCTCCGGTTTTTCCCTCCACATTTAGAAACATGCGCTTAGAGCATTTGGCTGCTATAAATTTCCACGTAAGCCACTCGGTTGAGCAATCATTTGTGGCCAGAAGCAATACAGCTCAGTGGACCTTACCTGCTAATATAAAAACTAGTTTAGTTTTTGACTTTAGAGTACAAACTCTTACTTCTCAAGCCGACGAACGGGTGCGTCGTTGTGCGTCTCGCAGACGCAAGTGAGAGACGGATATACGTCGGCGGCGGAGTAAACGTCTCACCTGCTTGGCAGATTCATCTCGTGAGCAACGCGGTGAGACAGCGACACAGCGGCGACACGGCGAGGCTCCGTCACACCGATCAGCCCCGTCCTGCCAGCGGCGCACACACAGAGAATAATACACTTTCATTCAACTGGAGGAATCCGATGAGCTAGGAAGCTCTTTATTTTTTTTACAGAAGTCCAGAGTCACGAGCGTCCGCAGCTCAGAGGTCCTGGCCGCACCAGGGTCGCAAATGGGTACCCGTACCCATACCCGGCCGGGTACGGGTACCCGTTCCCTACCCGTGCCCTACCCGAAATGAGTGACAAACGGTTACTCACCAGTGACTCACGGCCTACCCGTACCCGGCCGCACCAGGGTCGCAAACGGCTACCCGTACCTGGCCGGGTACAGGTAGCCGGGTATCGGGTAGAGTACGGATATCGGGTACCGGTTGCGACCTCTGCCGCAGCTGCCCGGCGAGGCGGAGGCTCAGGGGTCAAAGTGCAGAGCCGGTACCGCTAAGATCCTCGGATTTAAAGCCGGGCTTCAGCTGCTAAGTGCTTTCATTTTATTCGTGAAAATATTTTCCCCTGGAAAATTCCTTCGGATGGAAGGTCTCGTTTGCGAGGGTGGCCAGGGCGTCCGAACGACGTACAGATTGTGAATACGTGCTGCCACGTACACACTCACGCTCGTCAAACGAGTACCAGCGAGTTGATGGACTCAGCCCAGCTACCAATAACTGCGCATATAAACCACCGCATTTGGGCTTTTTTTATGAATTTGACGAAATCATGGCTGAGAATTAAAATACAAATAAGAATTGGTCTGAATGTCACGTGAGCTGTTGTGTCAAAATAAAAAGGCCACGTGAAAAAGTCTTCCAAAGAGATTCGTCATCTCACCACGCCAATCGATTCAGATTAGTCGCTGGGCATGCCCAGACATGTAATGTGTTACTTACTGTTACTTACTGTTAGTAGCTCAGCTTATTGGAGAGTATATTTAGTATACTGATGACACTATGTAGTTTATACTTTAGTTTTTTACGTGGTGGTTTAGTTACCGCAGCTAAATACTATTAACATTCCTTCCCTTTATTAATGCTACACCTATCCCCTCCCTTTGATGCTGCTAATCCTGCATAATGCACAGGCATAATATGACTTTGAAACCCCCCGCCCACCTCCTACGCATTTCACAAGTAGTACTAATCCCATATCTGCATTTCCCATAAATATGCTAAATTCCTCTTGATATGCAAATTATTTTGTCAAGTCGCTCTTCCCACTCCAACCCAGCTTAAATATACGCTCCAAGCCTGGGGTGTTTCATTCAGACGCTGTCTTCCCGACAGACCTGTTCTTCACCTGAGGACGGCTGCTTGCGTTGTGGCCGAAACGTCGTGAGAATTATTTTATTATGTTTTATTTTTATTATTTTATCATTTCCCTTCTACGTGATGACTTTACCGAAAGAACCAAGAAGATCATAAAAAAACGTCAACACACCTGCACAGCCTGTTGGTGAGCACCTACGAGTACCTACAGCACACGAGAGGTTTTGGTGGCCAGCACCACTCCCAGCTACCTTTATTTCCCCAATGCTATTTGCACATCCTAGCAGGTACTCATTTAAGGCCGAGTTGACCTAGGAAAGGCCCAGGACCGGTTTAAATATTAGCCACCGATGTTAGCCATGAGCAGGAATCCAACTCGGGTCGCCAGGTTTGTATCGCAGTGCACTAACCGCTGCACTACCACATCCCACCACACTCCACGCAAAGATCCCCCCTATAGCCTTAGCAGACTGTTGGGGCAAGTGCTGTTAGCGAGCACCTATGAAGGCCGGCACGGCACTAGGAACTCATCTAAGGCCGTGTCGACATAAGGGAGGCTCAGGACCGATTCAGATAATCGTCACCGGTGTTGGCCGTGCGCACAGCGCACACGCACAGCGCGCACGCACAGCGCACACGCACAGCGAACACCGTACACCGCACAGCGCACACGCACTCACCTCGCGTATCCGGCCTCGTACAGGAACTGAGGCAGCTGCGTGCTCTTGCCACTGCCCGTTTCTCCACACACCACAGTCACCGGACTTTCCCCTATTGCCTCCATGATGGCCTGCTCCTCTCCCAGGATCGGCAATGCCAGCCGTGCCTCCTGACAGTCGGAACCAGATCACCAAGGTAAACCCAAGAGACTGTCGCGCAAGACAGTGATGCGGCATTGGTTGAAGACAAGCCAACTCAGAAGTGATTTGCAGCATGTCGGACACCCTCCGCAACTGGACGGGCCCTTCCCCAAATCGGTTTCGGCTTCGAGGCATCTTAATGGTAACACCTTGAACTGCTCACCTGCACCTTGGCCCGGCGGTTCACGTGAACAAACACGGCAGCTTGTTTGGGGAGTCCACACGGCAGCCCCGCTCCCGCACCGCCACTCTCCGCACCGACTTTTCCCTCTGCCGCCTTCGTGAGCTCGGGGGCCTTCTTCCCCGGCTCAACGGAGGTTGCAGGTTCCCCGTCCGCCGTGCCGTCTGCGCGCGCCTCGCCCATCGCCTCGCCCATCGCCTCGCCCATCGCCGTGCCCTCCTCCTTAAAACCGGGCCGCTGTGCGACGTCGCTCTCATTGTCCGACGCGGAGCTGACGTCCGACTCCTCCGAGGTCGTGTCCGTCTGGGCGACCTTGCCCTCTTCGCTGTCTTCGTTGTCGCTGTCGTCGTCGCCGCACTTGCGCTTCCTCTTGCCGACCCCGCCTTTAATCGCATTTAATTTGGACGCCGGCAAGTCCCCGTCAGCAGCCTCGTTGTGCCTTGGGGAAGGAACAAATCGTCCCACGGAGGGTTGTAAACTCCGACTGATACTCATCGCCACCACCACCTTATGAAGAGGAGAAACGGTGAATGTCGTGGTTAGCCCGTCACAGACGTTACAGCACGGGAGGTGCTGCACGTCCCGCACAGGTGTTATATTAGACCTCGCAAACACTCAGCAGCGAGTGGTAACCATCACCGCACAACCTCCACTAAGCTGAGGTTTCACCGAGATATTCCATGCAGCCAAAATCAAATAACTGCACGAGCCTTCAAATTGTTATTGGGGGGCGCTGTGCCAATGCCACCCTGGCGCGCACCCCCCTACGAAAGCTGCATTATACTTCTTCTTGGTTCTTTCGGTAAAGTCACGTAGAAGGGAAGTAATAAAATTATAAAAATAAAACATAACAAAATAATTCTCACGACGTTTCGGCCACAACGCAAGCAGCCGTCCTCAGGTGAAGACCAGGTCTCCCCGACAGACCTGAATCCATTCAGACGCTGTCTCCCCGACAGACCTATTCTTCACCCGAGGACGGCTGCTTGCGTTGTGGCCAAAACGTCGTGAGAATTATTTTATTATGTTTAATTTTTATTATTTTATTATTTCCCTTCTACGCGACTTTACCGAAAGAACCAAGAAGATGAATCCCTGCAGTCACGAAAGCTTTAAATCGAAGTTTTATACTTTTTCACCAAATTGATCCCAATTTTGCTATTGGCATCACGTCCAGAGAAAAAACATCCACTCGGATCTCTCAGATCGCGGTGTGGCCCTCCGTGTGAGAGGACGGCCCGCGTAAGTAGATCTCACAGGGCTACCTCTGAGATCCCTTCAAGCGACCTTGAGAGGATGGCGATCGTAGATCCTTTTAAGTGACCGCTGTTCCACACAAATAGCGGCAGCACTTTACCACCTCCCCTGCCACTGACATTAATGCTCATCACATGATAATCAAAGCCGACATGTTAATTATGATAGGAATTTAACCTATTTAAGTGCAGGACCGAATTTAATGTGATGTTTTCTTTTGCAATCATTGGTGACCAGGCTATACATTTCCACGTAACCCACTTCGTTGAGCTTTCACTTGTCGCCGGGTCACTTCTGAAACAGAAGCTCATAGCTTAGTGAGGCTTTACCTGGTAAAATAAAATGTGCATTTAATTGGTTTCCTTTTTAAGTGATTTATTTATCCTTTCCTCGACTCTGCACTCCGACCGTGTTTTTGTATTGTTTGTTGTTGTTATAACATTCTTACCTGCCCCTACTGCACACCTGTGAAAAAGAGCTTTATAACTCATCGCATTCCTGCAGTGTAAACGATGTTCCGCTTCTGATCCAACTCGCTACACTTTAGAACCAGATTTCATCACAGGCGGCTGCATGAGATGAGTTTGAACCCAGGATCTCAGCATTGCGGGATCAGCACTCTGACCTCTTGACCACGAGGCCACCTTGAGAAAGCTGCATCGTAAAAATTGCCTGACATGATGCGCACAATCTCACCTGTGCTGGTGTGCAGGGATATGTGATCCAATCTGCGACGTTGACTGCAGCTGCCTCATTACATCCTGCGTGGCCTGGCACTCGGCCAGTCGCTCCAATAGCTCCGACCGCTGGACAGCAAATACAGCAACAAGAACACCAAACGCTTGTGTGATTCATCGCATCTTTGGCGCAGGCAAAGCAGAGCGTGTATTCTCACCGTCGTCACCACATCTACATGTGGTAGATCTGGAGACGCCCTGTGGCAGGCAGGGGCACCCCTGTGGCAGCTGTCCCTTCATGGTAGAAGGTGAACGCGACACCAGCCAGCAAGCGGACATTACATTTGGGGGGTGTTGTTGCGATGCGGATTTCCCAATGAAGAAAAGTGCGAGTAACTGTTAACCTTTTAACTATGATAGCGGCACACAACGGCCTTTGCTTTTTTCGAATGACATCACGGCATCTCTATTACCTTCTGTGAAACAGGTGGCACAAATTTCTTGGTTAATACACCAGCAGTATTCACCAGGACTGCCGCAGGGTTCGAACCGGGAACACGCTACCGCTTGGCCACGTCATTCTCGCTGCCCAGGATTAAATATATGTTGGTGCAGTGCCTACTGTGATGTCACGAGTCCTCTAATTACAATCCTCATTGCAAAAAAGCAAGCGTGTACTGCGGAAAAGAACGACCAAAAAATGTTTTAACTGAAAGCAGATTAAAATCCCGTGACAGATTTGCGTGGTATGGAGTCTATTCTTAGTCTTAAGCCTCACCCTACCATATTAATAAAAAGTGTGCCGTACTTGGCCCTTCCCCTCTCCAACCATTATATATACGGAGTGGTAGCTCTTGTAATCTCTCATTTACTTGATACAGCTGTCGTGGCTGTGACGGTTCCACCTGAAGACGGAAGCTTGTGTTGCCTCCGAAACGTCGTGATTTTTATTTTATTTTACTTTTATTAATTTTAATGTTTTTACCTACGTGACTTTACCGAAAAAACCTAAGAATATGAATCCTTGCAGTCACGAAAGCTTCAAATCTAGAAAGATTCGCGTGGCTTGACGAGTCAAAGCCAAGCATGACGGAAGCACCTGAAGTTTCTTCTGCTTCTGTTCGAGCACTTTCTCAAGAAGTTTCCGCTGCTTGCGGCTGAGTGGGCGCTTGGGGCGGCCACGCGGCAGCTGAGGAGCAGCGCGAGGAACCGCCGGGGCTGCTGGGAGAACCAGCGGATTGCTGCTGTCCACTCCCTTCTGTCGCAGGACATCGCCTGTAACACATCGCACACATTCTTAGGTTTTTTTGGTAAAGTCACGCAGGTAAAAAATTAAAATTAATAAAAGTAATAATAAAAATAAAATAAAATACATAAATTAAATAAAAAGGTTAACATCGCACACACTGTCGCCTGTATCGGATTGCATGTAACGGATCGCCCATAACGCATCGCCTGTAACGGACCACGTGTAACACATCACACACACACGTCGCCTATAACGGATTGCCCACAACGCATCACCTGTAACGGACCGCGTGTAACACATCGCCTGTAACACATCACACACACACGTCGCCTGTAACGGATTTCCCATAACGAATCATCTGTACCGGACCGCGTGTAACACATCGCGTGTAACACATCACACACACATGTCGCCTGTAACGGATTGCCTGTAACGCATTGCCTGTAACGGACCGCGCGTAGCACATCGCCTGTAACACATCGCACACACACGTCGCCTGTAACGGATTGCCCGTAACGCATCACCTGTAACGGGATTGCTCACACAAGGCAGCCACTCGCATCAACTCGAAACCAGGTTGCAGCACAGTGAGGCAGCAGGCCTCTTAGGCAGGCGGAGACTCGCGATCAAATACGAGGATAACAACTGAAGGGGTCAAACACACTCAGTTCAGGACGAAAACAATTGGAGAAAACAAAACCGCGTTGGCAACTGTGTAAAATACAAACCAGAGAAAACACACAATGATTTGTTGATCACTAAAACGGGTCATGCAATGAGCGAGTCATTTACAAAAAAAGATGTAAATGACAAATTTTGTATCAATGTCTCACATGTGTACATCCAAGTAAATCTTGCAAGCTTTGTTCCATTTTACTTGTCACTCTCCATGTTTCTCATCCACATCTCCTAGCAAGCAGGTGCTATATAAACACCGATCGAAAACGCAGTCTCATCAAAACAAAAAAATCACAAATTTGAAAAAGACAAGCAAGAAGATGTTACAGTAATCATTAAATCAGGGGACACAGGAATGGCCATGTACCTTCGAGAGTGACCTCCTTGGCTGCTGCCACGTTCTTGGAGGGCGTGAGACTCTGCGAGGACGGCTGAAGGCGGCCACGCCAATTGTGTCTGCGCTTTAGCCGGCCCATGCTGCTGCCAATGCTGCTGCTGTGGGGGGCACACACGTGGGGGGCACGCACGTGGGGGGCACGCACGTGGGGGGCACGCACGTGGGGGGCACGCACGTGGGGGACACACGCACGCGGCCACACACCGGAGGACACACGAAGCACATTGCATTGTTATTCTTAGGTTTTTTTTCGGTAAAGTCACGTAGGTAAAAAATTTAAATTAATAAAAGTAAAATAAAAATAAAATAAAAATCACGACGTTTCGGAGGCAACACAAGCTTCCGTCTTCAGGTGGAACAGTCACAGCACGATAGCTGTATGTACAGCTGTCGTGCTGTGACTGTATGATACAGCTATCGTGCTAACTTAATTTGGAGCTTTCGTGACTGCAGGAATTATTCTTTGGTTCTTTCGGTAAAGTCACGTAATCAACCAGATAGGGTGTTGACTGTTATGTTATCCGACTCTCTGTTGTATTACATTACATTTCTAAGTATACTAGATTTGTGTTTCTATTTAATGTATACCTGATGATGATTGCTTGTGTTGCAATCGAAACGTCGTATGCTAGTATTTAATTTAATTTATTATTGTATCTTTATACGTGACTTTACCGAAAGAACCAAAGAATAAGCTATCGTGCTGTGACTGTTCCACCTGAAGACGGAAGCTTGTGTTGCCTCCGAAACGTCGTGATTTTTATTTTATTTAACTTTTATTAATTTTAATTTTTTACCTACGTGACTTTAACGAAAAAAAACCTAAGAATATGAATCCTTGCAGTCACGAAAGCCTCAAATCTAGAATTACATTGCATTCTTGTCAAACACGAGCTCACGCGAATATACAGAATACATTTATACACACCTATACCACTGTCTGCGGCCGTCTGGAACGCTCTTCGTTCCGATATTGGGAAGCCACTGGAGCTATGCACTTTAAATCCGAATTGAAAACTAATTTGTTTAGAACTGCTTTTTGTGTTTAGTTCGTTGTCCTTCCCCCGCACCTCCAATTAGCACGGTTTGCTACGTACGGCGCAAAGTAAGTTCAACATACATGCTACGTTATGACCCTCTTACTTTAATCCAGTGTTAATTTCGTTAAAGAAATTCGTTTAATATTTGGAAACTATGTTTATTAATTTATTTAACCATGACTGAGCGGACACCAATCATCAATCCGAACGAAAAGAAACCAACCACAATTTATAAACATCCCTGTTATAGAGATCCACTAACAATCCTCCTCTCCCTCTTTCTTCCCGACCTGTGAGATTTAACACAGCCCTGTGCAAGCAATGGCCATTCGCCACTGCTTGACCAGTGCCCGTGCCAGGCTACGTGCACTTTGAGGCCACGTAAAGTTAGGCTATTAACCGAAGGCTCACCGGCAGGCAACGGGGCAGAGACCCAGGTGCTGTGGGTTACCCGAGACGATTGTGGTTCATCTTCTTGGTTCTTTCGGTAAAGTCACGTAGAATGAAAATAATAAAATACAAATAAAATATAATAAAATAATTCTCACGACGTTTCGGCCACAACGCAAGCAGCCGTCCTCAGGTGGAGACCAGGTCTGTCGGGGAGACAGCGTCTGACCTGGTCTTCACCTGAGGACGGCTGCTTGTGCTGTGGCTGTCTCCCCGACAGACCTGGTCTTCACCTGAGGAAGGCTGCTTGCGTTGTGGCCGAAACGTCGTGAGAATTATTGTTTAATTTTTATCATTTTACTATTTCCATTCTACGTGACTTTACCGAAAGAACCAAGAAGATTAATCCCTGCAGTCACGAAAGCTTTAACATCGAAACGATTGTGGTTGTTTAAAGCGCCCGCGGCGTTCGAGACACACGTGGTGGCCACACCAGCGGCGCACGGAACACTCACCCGGCACGCCACGCACGGCCACGGAGAGCACGACGGGGGATAAATCCGTGGACGTACTGGAGACACGGGCGCAGTGTGATTCTCACTAAATCGTCGCCACAGTCATCATCATCATCGCTGCGCGGTATAAACTCGAAACTTTGAAGAAGCCTCCTCCCCACAAACCACGCGCCACCCACGTGCGCGCTTCCACGGGGCCGATTGTTTCCCGTGCCGTCCGGGTTTGTTTTTTACGTTCCGCCCAGTCGGTTTGGCGGAGGTTCCGGAAACAAACCGCCGACTGTCGAATAGCGATGGGCGTACGACATCGGCGGTGTCGGACGCCGCACGATGTAACAGTGATGTTTAAAGAACGCGGTATCCCGAACGTGTTGCTTGTTGCGTGTAACGAGAGCTTCGGTGATATCCGCGGGGCGATTTAAACTCGGGACCCGGGACCAGAGTGGCCGGGAGGAAGTGACGTAGCACAACTCCGACTGCACCGCTGACGACTTCCGCTTTCACGCAGCAGCAGGCGAAGGTTTTCGCGACCAATAATGTCCATTGTGTTATTATCCATTATACTGTTAGGTTCTTTCGGTAAAGTCACGTAGGTAAAAAATATAATAATAATAGAAATAAAATAAAAATAATAATAGGAATAAAATAATAAAAATACATATAAATAAAAGAAAAATAATAATAGTAATAAAATAAAAATAATAAAATTTATAATAGAAATAAAATAAAAATAAAAAAATAATAGAAATACAATAAAAATAATAATAGAAATAAAATACAAATAATACAATTTATAATAGAAATAAAATAAAAATAATTATAGAAATAAAATAATTAATATTTCCATTATTTCTATTTTTACCTACGTGCCTTTATCGAAAAAACCTAAGAGTATGAATCCTTGCAGTCACGAAAGCCTCTAATCTAGAGTTATCCATAATGTTATGCAATATACATAATATTAAATATTATCCATACCATAATATCCAATATTATCCATAATATTATTCAACATTGTCCATCATCAGATTATCCAATATCCATAGGTATCGAATATTGTCCATAGGGGCCGTCCATAAATGACGTCACGCGATTTTGGCCGATTTTTGCCCCCCCCCTCGTCACACCCCTCAAATATGACGTCACAAAGCTCTGCCCCCCCCCCCCCCCAAATGATATTTCCATTTTGGAAAAAAAACATGCTTCAAATCGCTTTAAACTCTTGTCATTGTAGTGCGTATTTAATGTGGCGCTGCACTCTGATGTTGTAGGAGAAAACATTTATTAAAAAGGAGGCGTTGGAAAGCTTAAATTTAGCATAAAATTCACTTGAAAATATTCAACGTCAAAATATGATATTGAAATTTTCTTATAATTATCAAATATTTAAAGTAATTATAACTATTAAAAATTATTTAAACTTTGTAGTAGAACGAATCAAAATGGATAGTACAATTATAACAATCACATTCAATCCACAGAATGAAAAGCCCTGGTAGAATCATTAAAATCAAAATGTTTAATAGCAATAATTACAATTTTTTACAAAATGTATGCTTCTCCATTCTCCCATGGAGAAGCAAAATGCTCCTTCATGGAATAAATCGGGAGAGCCATGGATCTCTTCATCCTGTGGAATGGATATTCCATTCCGATCAAGCGCTTCTTCATCTATCCAATCTGCACTCTCTCCAATTTCTTCCTTCACGATTTCAACCGACGTACAGCAGCGACTCTCTGTGGCATGATGCGTTTGGGCGGAAAAAAAAATTAACCCGTAAAAAAAAGTTTTTCACTATAAATCCTTTATATGCGTGGCGGCTAGAGTCCTCTCGTCCTCTGGCTTGAGATGGCTGCCACCTATGGGTCAGATGATTGCCTGCCACCATTAAGCAATTGGTAATTAAATATAAAAAAATTCCCTAAAATGTTGAAAATTTTGGGAAAAAATTTTCACTAAAATAATTGTCACGCACAACGAGTCTGTGTGCAAAATGTCAGCTCGATTGGATCACGGGAAGTGGGTTAAAAAACGACCGAAAGATTTGCACGGTCATAAGCGCGCAAGCAAGCAAGCAAGTGAACTTAATATAAAGGATTTAATAATTGATTCCTGCTTGTGTTGCGATCGAAACGTCGTGATCTATTAATTTTCTACCGACGTGACTTTACCGAAAGACCAAAAGAAGCTTCACTCTGTCTGTTGTTGTTGGCTTTATTTTGGTGATTTCGAAAAGTGTATTGGTTTAGCCATGTTTGTTTGTTGTAGTACAGAGTTAGACTGATGGCCTTAATATAAGTTGTCTTGTGGTTGTTACTGTTGTTTGACTTGCATTCCACTGGGAATTTTGCACACAGCGTTGGTGTACGGTGATTTTTTTCTGCAATATTTTACTGTCTTTTCTTGGATTTTCTGTTTGCACTTAGTCACATATTCACTTAAGATGTTTTTTTGTTCATGTTTTGGTTTTTTGTTTGTTGCGGTTGCACCCGATTCAAGAGCCGAATGGCTCACAGGGCTACACCTAATACATGAACTTGAACTTGTGTCAAGACGGCAGAAGTCGCCACTGTTATCTTCCTTTAATAAAAGACCACAAGACGAAAGCTGACGCCAGATGATGCTGGAGCGGACATCTCCAGCGAAACGTTCTTCATTTCAAACAAAAGCACGTGTCACAACATTTCTCAGGCGTTTCTGATTTAACACATTCCTGCTGCGGAGGGAGCTGGTAGGAACGTTGGGTTGCTCGGTCAATGGCCAGGGTCAACAGGCGGCGGCGTGGTGTATTCCGCAAATATGCCCGACTGTGAGGGCGGGCACAAGCCGGCGTGAGTAGGTTAAACGTTGAGTTTTATAAGGGCACCACGGGGTGACCAGCCCCTCCCAACCACCCAGCCCCACCCCTCCCTCCCACCCCCCACCCAGCCCCACCCAGCCCATCCCCACCCTCCCCACCCAGCCCCACCCCCACCCAGCCCCTTCCCACCCAGCCCATTCCCACCCAGCCCCTCCCCACCCAGCCCCACCCTCCCCACCCAGCCCCTCCCCACCCAGCCCCTCCCCACCCAGCCCCTCCCCACCCAGCCCCTTCCCACCCAGCCCATTGTCACCCAGCCCCGCCCCACCCAGCCCCACCATCCCCACCCAGCCCCTCCCCACCCAGTCCCCACCCAGCCCCTCCCCACCGAGCCCCTCCCCACCCTCCCCACCCAGCCCCTCCCCACCCAGCCCCTCCCCACCCAGCCCCTCCCCATGTGGGCTGGTGTAACCAGAGGTTCCTACCAGTACTACGCACGAATCCCGCTGCGAATGCCAAGACGCACATTGTCCACACGCAAGCCACAATGATCCGTTATCCTATAGCCGCAGACGTGTCAATTGTCTTGTTAAGATTGAGTCAGACGGGTGTCAATAAAGTTGCTCAAGTGTGGTCACACGCACGAACACAGCTACCGGATTATAAGACGCATGTCCACCTAAGGGGCCGTCCATAAATGACGTCACGCGATTTTGGATGATAGCTACATAATTCTAGATTTGAAGTTTTCGTGACTGCAAGGATCTTTGGTTTTTTCGGTAAAGTCAAGTAGGTGAAAAATAAAATAAATTAAAATTAAAACAATTAAATTAAATCATCAACGGTTGCTTGTGTTGCTTCCGAAACGTCGTGATTTAATTAAATTGTTTTCATTTTAATTTATTTTTTACCTACGTGACTTTACTGAAAAAACAAAGAGTATAGCTACATAACTCAGTGGGGCTTAGTATAGTAAAAAAAAGTTTAGTTGTATTTGTATATTTGTAAGTGATTTGTTTACATATCCTATACTTTGCACTCCGATCGTGTTTTTATTGTTTGTTGTTGTTCTGACTTGCCCCTTACTGGATATGTATAAAATAAATAACTTTATAGATAATCTGATTCCTCCTGCACTAGAAAGAATTCTGATTTTAAATCAAATTGCTTCTGTAATCGATTCGCCTTGTGGAGGTGAATCGCGTGGCAAGTTACCAGGAATCGATCCGCACAGATCGCGATGACGTCGTGTTTACTCGCGCGCGCGGCGCTCGTGACGTCATCGTCTTGGCGCGTGACCACGTGGGCCGGGCCAGCAACAGCTGTTGTGGTGGTGGTAGTCCACGTTGCAAGTGACAGCAGCAGCAGCGTGCAGCTTGGAGGAGGAGCGGTGGGTGTCGTGCAGAGCTTGTGGGAGCCTACAGACCAGTCTATGGGATTGTAGAGAGCCGGTGGGAGTGTAGAGAGCCTGTGGGAGTGTATAGAGCCTGTGGGAGTGTAGAGAGTCTATAGGAGTGTATAGAGTCTATAGGGGTGTACAGAGTCTATAGGAGCGGACAGAGTCTATAGGGGTGTACAGAGTCTATAGGAGTGTATAGAGTTTGTAGGAGTGTAGAGAGTCTATAAGGGTGTACAGAGTCTATAGGGATTTATAGAGTCTATAGGGGTTTACAGTCTATAGGGTTTACAGAGTCTATAGGGGTTTACAGTCTATAGGGGTTTACATAGTCTATAGGGGTTTATAGAGTCTATAAGGGTTTACAGTCTATAGGGGTTTACATAGTCTATAGGGATTTATAGAGTCTATAGGGGTTTACAGTCTATAGGGGTTTACAGTCTATAGGAGTGTACATAGTCTATAGGGGTGTACAGAGTCTATAGGGGTGTACAAAGTCTGTAGGAGTGTACAGAGTGTGTAGGGAGGGGTGAGTGTCTTGCCAAGTCATCTTCAAGTCAGTGAACACACAACACCGGACGTGGTTTCCTGCCGGCGAGGAACCCACAACACTTCCCGCGGGAGCCTCCAAGTGCACCTAGCCTGGCACAAGCTCCGTGACGTCACTTGGTGAATGGTGGACTGTTGTTAAAGAGCCTTCGTGTTCATCGGGAATCATCATGCGTCGGACAACGTGGTGACGATCAGGTACAGCATGTGCTGCTACACAACGCACGTGTCACCAGTTCGATTCCCGTTCACGGCAAACAACCAGTGACGATTATCTGAACCGGTCCTGGGCCTCCCCCTAGGTCGACTCAGCCTCAAATGAGTACCCTGGTAAGGTGGGTAAACATCGCCGCTAGGGAGACAAAGGCGGTCGGGTGTGGTGTTGGCCACCCACCCACTCGTGTGCCGTTCCGGCCTTAATAGGTGCTCGATAACAGCACTTGCCCCTACAGTCTGTTAAAGCTATACGGGGGATCTTTGTCTTTATCTGTGTAACTTATGTGCTCGCTAACAGCACTTTCCCCAACAGTCTATTAAGGCTATACGGGGGATCTTTGTCTCTATCTTTGTTACTTATGTGCTCGCTAACAGCACTTGCCCCAACAGTCTGTTAAGGCTATACGGGGGATCTTTGTCTTTATCTGTGTAACTTATGTGCTCGCTAACAGCACTTGCCCCTACAGTCTGTTAAAGCTATACGGGGGATCTTTGTCTTTATCTGTGTAACTTATGTGCTCGCTAACAGCACTTTCCCCAACAGTCTATTAAGGCTATACGGGGGATCTTTGTCTCTATCTTTGTTACTTATGTGCTCGCTAACAGCACTTGCCCCAACAGTCTGTTAAGGCTATACGGGGGATCTTTGTCTTTATCTGTGTAACTTATGTGCTCGCGAACAGCACTTGCCCCTACAGTCTGTTAAGGCTACACGGGGGATCTTTGTCTTTATCTGTGTAACTTATGTGCTCGCTAACAGCACTTGCCCCTACAGTCTGTTAAGGCTACACGGGGGATCTTTGTCTTTATCTGTGTAACTTATGTGCTCGCGAACAGCACTTTCCCTAACGGTATGTTAAGGCTATACGGGGGATCTTTGTCTTTATCTGTGTAACTTATGTGCTCGCTAACAGCACTTGCCCCTACAGTCTGTTAAGGCTACACAGGGGGTCTTTGTCTTTATCTGTGTAACTTATGTGCTCGCTAACAGCACTTGCCCCTACAGTCTGTTAAGGCTATACGGGGGATCTTTGTCTTTATCTTTGTAAGTTATGTGCTCGCTAACAGCACTTGCCCCTACAGTCTGTTAAGGCTACACGGGGGGTCTTTGTCTTTATCTGTGTAACTTATGTGCTCGCTAACAGCACTTGCCCCTACAGTCTGTCAAGGCTACACGGGGGGTCTTTGTCTTTATCTGTGTAACTTATGTGCTCGCTAACAGCACTTGCCCCTACAGTCTGTTAAGGCTACACGGGGGGTCTTTGTCTTTATCTTTGTAACTTATGTGCTCGCGAACAGCACTTGCCCCTACAGTCTGTTAAGGCTACACGGGGGGTCTTTGTCTTTGTGTTACTTTGCCTACTTTCCGAAGTGTGCGTTGCATAATCGATATCATCAACCATGATCGATCCACTGCTGGATTAATACAATTATCCCGCTGTCCAACGATGTAGTAGTGAGTAGTGGTCATAACAATCCACCCCACTCTTGTACACCCACACACGAGCTGATTTCACCGCTCCATCTCCTGCATGTTCGTCACTCTCTCTCTGTGATTGCTCTGATCATCAGACATGGTGTGTACCCTGTGTTGTGATTGCTCTGCCCATCAGACATGGTGTGTAGTCTGTGTTGTGATCGCTCTGCCCATCAGACATGGTGTGTAGTCTGTGTTGTGATTGCTCTGACCATCAGACATGGTGTGTAGTCTGTGTTGTGATTGTTCTGCCCATCAGACATGGTGTGTAGTCTGTGTTGTGATTGCTCTGCCCATCAGACATGGTGTGTAGTCTGTGTTGTGGTTGCTCTGACCATCAGACATGGTGTGTAGTCTGTGTTGTGGTTGCTCTGTCCATCAGACATGGTGTGTAGTCTGTGTTGTGATTGCTCTGATCATCAGACATGGTGTGTACCCTGTGTTGTGATTTCTCTGCCCATCAGACATGGTGTGTAGTCTGTGTTGTGATTGCTCTGCCCATCAGACATGGTGTGTAGTCTGTGTTGTGGTTGCTCTGCCCATCAGACATGGTGTGTAGCCTGTGTTGTGAATGCTCTGATCATCAGACATGGTGTGTAGCCTGTGTTGTGATTGCTCTGATCATCAGACATGGTGTGTACCCTGTGTTGTGATTTCTCTGCCCATCAGACATGGTGTGTAGTCTGTGTTGTGATTGCTCTGCCCATCAGACATGGTGTGTAGTCTGTGTTGTGATTGCTCTGCCCATCAGACATGGTGTGTAGTCTGTGTTGTGATTGCTCTGATCATCAGACATGGTGTGTAGCCTGTGTTGTGATTGCTCTGCCCATCAGACATGGTGTGTAGTCTGTGTTGTGATTTCTCTGCCCATCAGACATGGTGTGTAGTCTGTGTTGTGATTGCTCTGCCCATCAGACATGGTGTGTAGTCTGTGTTGTGATTGCTCTGCCCATCAGACATGGTGTGTAGTCTGTGTTGTGATTGCTCTGCCCATCAGACATGGTGTGTAGTCTGTGTTGTGGTTGTTCTGACCATCAGACATGGTGTGTAGTCTGTGTTGTGATTGCTCTGCCCATCAGACATGGTGTGTAGTCTGTGTTGTGATTGTTCTGATAATCAGACATGGTGTGTAGTCTGTGTTGTGGTTGTTCTGACCATCAGACATGGTGTGTAGTCTGTGTTGTGGTTGCTCTGCCCATCAGACATGGTGTGTAGTCTGTGTTGTGATTGCTCTGCCCATCAGACATGGTGTGTAGTCTGTGTTGTGGTTGTTCTGACCATCAGACATGGTGTGTAGTCTGTGTTGTGATTGCTCTGCCCATCAGACATGGTGTGTAGTCTGTGTTGTGATTGCTCTGATCATCAGACATGGTGTGTAGTCTGTGTTGTGGTTGTTCTGACCATCAGACATGGTGTGTAGTCTGTGTTGTGATTGCTCTGACCATCAGACATGGTGTGTAGTCTGTGTTGTGGTTGCTCTGCCCATCAGACATGGTGTGTAGCCTGTGTTGTGATTGCTCTGTCCATCAGACATGGTGTGTAGTCTGTGTTGTGGTTGCTCTGCCCATCAGACATGGTGTGTAGTCTGTGTTGTGATTGCTCTGACCATCAGACATGGTGTGTAGTCTGTGTTGTGATTGCTCTGACCATCAGACATGGTGTGTAGTCTGTGTTGTGATTGCTCTGTCCATCAGACATGGTGTGTAGTCTGTGTTGTGATTGCTCTGACCATCAGACATGGTGTGTAGTCTGTGTTGTGGTTGTTCTGACCATCAGACATGGTGTGTACCCTGTGTTGTGGTTGTTCTGACCATCAGACATGGTGTGTAGTCTGTGTTGTGATTGCTCTGATCATCAGACATGGTGTGTAGTCTGTGTTGTGATTGCTCTGATCATCAGACATGGTGTGTAGTCTGTGTTGTGATTGTTCTGATCATCAGACATGGTGTGTAGTCTGTGTTGTGATTGCTCTGTCCATCAGACATGGTGTGTAGTCTGTGTTGTGATTGCTCTGATCATCAGACATGGTGTGTAGTCTGTGTTGTGATTGCTTTGACCATCAGACATGGTGTGTACCCTGTGTTGTGGTTGTTCTGACCATCAGACATGGTGTGTAGTCTGTGTTGTGATTGCTTTGACCATCAGACATGGTGTGTAGTCTGTGTTGTGATTGCTCTGATCATCAGACATGGTGTGTAGTCTGTGTTGTGATTGTTCTGATCATCAGACATGGTGTGTAGTCTGTGTTGTGATTGCTCTGAGCCTCTGCCCATCAGACATGGTGTGTAGTCTGTGTTGTGATTGCTCTGATCATCAGACATGGTGTGTAGTCTGTGTTGTGATTGCTTTGACCATCAGACATGGTGTGTAGCCTGTGTTGTGATTGCTCTGATCATCAGACATGGTGTGTAGTCTGTGTTGTGATTGCTTTGACCATCAGACATGGTGTGTAGCCTGTGTTGTGATTGCTCTGCCCATCAGCCATCAATCGTCGCTTCGAGCGACCAGAGGAATCCTGCCACAAGCCCACAACTCACTTTTCTGTTCCAGACGGACTCAAAACAGCGCTGTACACGTCTTTAACTCTCGAATCCATGCCTCCCTCCTCCTCCTGCCTTAGCTCATTATTCGTATTAGAAGCCAGGTATTTACTGCTTCTGCTGGACGTTAAGCGATGTACCACTTTCACAGCTGTCAACCCAAACGCTTTACCCCGTATTCTTGTCCAGGGAAATTGAGTTTTTCAGGGTCCATACGGCGTACAGCGGTTTCAATACGTGCACAAATAAAACAATAATAGGGTCAAATAAAATCAGTGTATTGTGTAACCCTTCGTAATTTTATTGTTGTACATTAACAACACGAGTGAGTGCATCCACATATCAAGCAAGCAGCAGCAGCATCAGCATGCAAGATCACGTACAGTAGCATGATAAGTAGCATCATTGACACCAATCGTCATCATTACTAGATACAACTGCTTTTATTTAGCAACATAATTGTTGTCTATTTGTTTGTGTTTCTCCCTTGTGATGGGGTTTTGTAGGATGTTGAGATCGATAAGGGGCACGGGGTGACCAATAAGATCTGAATTGCTCTGTAACAAGGCAGGACACTGATACTGGTAGGAACCTCTGGTTACACCAGCCCACAGGGGATTATTGTGTCCTTCCGTCCGTCGTGCAGGGAGGGGCTGGGTGGGGAGGGGAGGGGCTGGGTGGGGAGGGTGGGGCTGGTTGGGAGGGGTGGGGAGGGTGGGGCTGGGTGGGAGGGGTGGGGCTGGGTGGGAGGGTGGGGCTGGGTGGGAGGGTGGGGCTGGGTGGGAGGGTGGAGCTGGGTGGGAGGGGTGGGGCTGGGTGGGAGGGTGGGGCTGGGTGGGAGGGTGGAGCTGAGTGGGAGGGGTGGGGCTGGGTGGGAGGGTGGGGCTGGGTGGGAGGGGTGGGGCTGGGTGGGAGGGTGGGGCTGGGTGGGAGGGTGGAGCTGGGTGGGAGGGTGGGGCTGGGTG